GAATGCTTTTCCCAGCCTCTGCGGCTTCGACAATTACTGCTGCTCTTCTCTCTTTAAGACCTTTTATCGCCTGTCTGCACTATTTTTCAAGCTCGGACGTTAGTTCGCGGTTGCCTGGAGCTCGTACGATTCAACGCTGGCGTATGAGCTCGTGTGTTTCTAGAGACAAACGTCTCTTGGTGACTCTAGAACTCTCAATTTTCATAGCGCTAAAGTGAAGATGTTGAATGAGGCGGTCGTATTCCTCGTCGATGTTATCGACAACTCTGCAACAGCAACTTCCCAACAGCCGATTAGTGAATTGAATAAGTCCCAATTTGCGGTGGTGCTGGAACTTCGGTTTTAGAATTTAGCGGCTTTTTCTACTTTGCACGAGAAATAGAATCTTGCACGAAGGAGGCGATAGTCTAACCCCGTGTGGAATTTTGAGACAACGACCACATCGGTAAGACAAAACTGTTGATTTACTATTACATGGCCTATTTCGCTGCGGCACACTCCACTGGAAGACTACCACTTCAAGCCTTGAGAGCGTAGCTTCTGAAATTGTGAATTACCACATTTGGATCTTCGTGATAAAATCAGACAGCCGCTCACTCTGCTTGTTCTATTCTAATCCATGGGTCTCAATGTGAGGCTCTTCTGACGTTCTTATGGGTCAAATGTTAGCGTTTTGATGTCGGTGCGTAAACGACAAAGTTTGTAGAAGCCTGCATTGATCCACATCTCTTCAATCGTAGACGTCCAATTCGAGCTACGGCTTCTCTATTGTTGCATGTTTGAGAAACTGTTCATTCCGACATCATTGACAGCGTTGATTGGCTGGCGTCTTCTCGTTTCATCCAGTCCAATGACGTCGTACGTTATCCTTCTTGCCTGCATAACCAAGTCTTCTATCGAGAACTCAAGTGCATGTTTGCGTGCATTGTAGGTACAGATTGTCGCCTTAGTCCTTTGCGATTTTAGCAGTTTAGTATAACCCTCAGATTTTAGCAGCCTTTCTGTACTAGCCCTACCTAACGCTGGCGAATCGGGGTCATGGGAATGAGGCCCGTTTATTTTACTGTGCTCAGATCGTGAGTGCTGTGTTTACTCATAGGTAGCATGCCAGTCTCTCCCAGAGTAGGTGGAGAGCTTATTTGTTGGATTCAACTCCCAACCGCCTTCCATATGCTACCTTGTTACTTAATTGCAGGCTTTTGTCCCAATTGATTCGTGGAATACAATCCGCGTAATAGGGAAACCCACGCAACCATGCATGAATACGTCTTCATAAACATAGAATGTAAGTGCCCGATGCGGTAGAAACAGGGATTCCATTCACTCGATCTGCCTGCGTCTCAGGGAAACAACGCTCGCTTCTGGTCCACGATTAACCCCCTATCCGCCACCTGGAGACGTTGCCGGGGTTCGAACGGGGCCTTACCGGTGAGAGCCGTAAATCCTAACCACTAAGTTGCCTCGCGTCTAGTCGGCATGAGGTCCCTTCATGAGGTAGATGCGTGGAAAGAAGGGTACGATAACAAAATAGACCACATTATAGTAAATATAAGGCTACTCCTAACCTGAGTCGTTGTGCTTTCAAACTTTTACATGAAATACGCCAACGTGAATCACTCGCGCAGTAGATAACGTTAACTCATGCTAAATCTTGCAAAACTCCATAGAAAGGCGATAAAAATGGAAGGAACAAGCAACAATAGCTAAAATTAGTAATAGCTAGCGATGTTAGAACCTTGGGAAAACATTCTTAACACCGCAAGAATGCGAGCGAATGAATCAAATGTGAGAAGTGCCGGGATCTGTACAGTAGATGTGAAAGACGGGTAGTGTAAAAAGATATGTTAGAATTCAAAGTTCTTAGTCGATGGAAGCACATCAAACCTACGCAAAGATAGGAAAATCTGTACGACTTCGGCAACTATCGCTCAACTGCTTGTTGTCTAGCGCCTACGAACCATTCACTTGAGTTTTCCTCAGAAGAAACAAAAACAGAACAATCGATTGGAACACTCTTCAAAAATATTGCTTCATTATTTGTCGGCTAACATACTTCTGACACCTGCAGAAATGTTTCAGAAACGGATCTGAAGTCGAAACTGCCTTCAGAGAATTCATCACCTCCAGAATTACAGACAAATGCTATAAATCAATGTACTTCACAATGTTATACCTTTTTATTTTCTGCCTACTATAATTTCGCGGCAGGGTACTAACCGAAATACAACCACAACGTTGCTGAGATATTTGCAAAACTCTGGACCGCAGGTGTCTATGGTGGGAACGAACGCGCTATTGTCCTTTCCGGGGAGTAACGCGTTCACCACCGCACCATGCAGGTCCTTTGTTTCGCCTGTCTCTCAGCTATTTCTATCGATCTTTGCCACAGCAATCACCCGTCAGCGAGATACTTCCTTTGAAAAAAGATGTAGATTATATTGCTTTTCATCTGGATTAATAAAGTTTATTCTAAACAGAGAACTTACCTGGATACTAGGATAGGCCGTCGTCACTGGTTGTGCGGCTCTAGCATATTTTCCATTTTTCGGAATTTTGCTAGTTTAGCCATTGTGGTTCCTTGTAGTCGCGAGGTCAGCTGCGCCAAAGCCTGCCCTAGGTCCTCACCACCACAAGCAGTAGCCCTCCTTGTGGATCAGAGAGAGATTTGCCACCATGCGACCAGTTTGTTGCCAGGACGGTGGTGGATCGCGGTATCGGTTTACTCTTAGCTGGGCTTCCTAATGGAAACGCCGGACTCCTTCTCAATTTGGGGGACCCTACCGGAGAATGAATACCCCGCCCCGATCCCGTATACATCGCAGCTTGACACCTTGGAACACCTCCCAGCCACATGAGGCGGTAAACTGTTGAGAGGAACTGAGAGCTGCCACTTTTGAAACACAATTTAGAATCGGACATTGTCTTCCGGAAAACCACATGGAATTAAAAGTGAGAGAAATATAGTAGGAGAGAAGAGGTACTGCTCTTCCTTCAGCATACGGTATGCAGTTACTATCATAGGAAATGAACTCGGTTCCGGCACTTTGCCTCCATCAAAAGACATCAAAAGACATCCAGCACTTGTGCGTGACTAATTTTAATAGTCCTGCTGATGGGAGTGTTACAGATAGTCCCAACATGACACATGCTCCTAAACCACCAATGTATGTCTTGTTTCCCCAACATGAATGATCATGGATTTCAGAACTACAGCGAGTCACGCGTGCATGCGCAGATGGGAGTTCGTCGACTGCGGGCCGCTCTCGACGGTCGCTCAATCTTCGTCGGCGAAATCGACCGCGCATTCGCTGACCACGAGTCCGAGCCTATGGGAGAGGTATGTTGAAAGTGCTTATTTTTGGCATGATTCTTCTCTACTTGTTGTTCAAGAACTGTGTTCAAGAACACCATCTTGTTGAAATATCAGCGTCGGCCATGAATTCTGTATCAAGTACTTATCTGGTAATTTTCTAGATGACTGAACTAGCACGAAGTTGGTATACAGAAACTTTTACTTGGCTAAGGTTTTAGCGCTTTCGCTTTCTTCAAAGCCACGCTGATCTGAGTCGATGGTCCTAAGCTGTCATTGTCACGATGTGTTAGTTCGTGGTCGCATCGAACCGAATCCGGTAAAGCAGATCATGTTGGGTTACAACTGACCGACATCCATTCTGTATAAAAGCTCATTGCCCAGTGAAGTTCCCCATCCGAGTGAAGTCCTCTCCACAAGATTCGATTCGATGCGGCTACGAACACACATATCGTGACAACGACCGATTTATGACCATCGACCGGCACCAGCGCGGCTCCGAACTATACGAAGGCGCCGAGACGTTAATCGAATGAGTTTTTGTTTGTACCGTGCTCGTTTCAATGATGCCGAAGGTCATTGATTATTCTTGCCAAGGTTTAATGAAAATAGGTTTTTAAGATACTTATATAGGGAAGAGGAAGGTCTAAGCAAATTGAGGGAGTTGCGAAAGGAAAAGATTGTGCGGGGGAAAAATTGGTGATGAAGGGCAGTGGCGATATTCACCAAGAGCAAATGCCACTACTGTTAGGCTAGACTAACATCCAAACGAACGGCGAAAGTCGAAGGGTCGAACCACCAACTGATATTGCCGTGCCCAGTGGGATAAGAACTATCAATGTAGGGCAGGCACAGGTGCTTTGTGTCAAGTAACTTGAAATGCAATAGATTATATGACAGGAGTAACAAAAATAAATATGTGCTTAATATGAGGCATGCTAAAATAAGTGAATGAGGATATTTCGCATGAAATATTCTCTGTGACTACAATGATGTTGAGATATTTGCAAAATTCTGGACCGTAGGTGTCTACGATGGGGATCGAACTCGCTATTATCCTTTCAGAAGGCTAACGCGTTCACCATCACACCATGCGGGTCATGTCCTCTCTATAATTTACTTAGTAGTTTACGTCGCATAGTCAGCAGCGACAGTATCTAAACCACTGCCGAGTAATGCAGCTGTAGGGGCTGCAACAGGTCATATCAAGTGTTCTCCGACTGCAGGAATGAAATTTACCACTAATTTTCTCTATACTTCTTGGTTGACCCAACGATACTTTGGAATAAGCACACATAAATCAAGTTATGGCAGTGAAGAGCCAGGAAACTGTAAGCGCAGCAAGGAAACTTAGGTGAGACTTGGGCCTAACGAGGCCATATGCAACCTAAAATTTTTTATTTTAGTTTTAATGAACTTAGCTACTGTGCTCCAGGTGCCTTTTTTCAAAACAAGGAAAAGCATTATATCAAATTGTCAATTTTTCTTGAACCCTTTTTCTAAAAGCATTGAAATTAACTTAATAGTTCCCTTCGCCTCCCAACAGTTTACCGCCCCATCATGGATGGGAGGTGTTCCTGAGTGTAGGGCTGCGATGTGCAACGGAAAGATTCTTCCTCTGGCAAGGTTTCCTAAGCTGAGAAGGAGTCCGACGTTTCTACCATGAAGCTCAGCTGAGAGTAAACCAATGCCAGGATCAGCCACCGTCGTGGTAGCAAACTAAAAAAATGACAAATCTCCCTCTGATCCACAAGGGCTGCGACTGCCTGTGGTGATAACGACCTGGAGCAGACTTTGGCTAGGCTGACCTCAGAACTCGAGGGAAACACAATAGCTAAACCAGCAAAACTCGTAAAATGGAAAATGTGCTGGGGTCCGCACCACCAGTGACGATAAGCGATCTAAGTATCCAAGCATCTAGGCTTCCTACAACGTTACGTCACTGTGTATACGGCGCTCGTAAGAATAGAACTTGCAAAGAACTACCTATCGGCTACATTTTTTTCACTGTATCCATTTCTATACCAATTAAAACACATTTCTAGACCATTCTATTTACGACCGAGGAATCCATACTGGAAGCGATCGCTGAGAATGACGTTTGTCTTGCAAACAACATGGAGAAAACCCAGTCCACATGTGATTTTGTAGGAGAAGGTGTACTTTGGTTTTTTTTTGCATAAATACTATGATTATTCAGAAGTTGGAAAGCCAGTGTCATTCATAGCGTGAAGCATCTTCTGTGATAAAGCTTCCTCAACTGTCTTTATAGACCTTGTGCTAGGACTTACACCAGGCAGGCCAGTTACTCGGGAAATGAACCGTGTCCCCAATAATAAGGAGAAACCACACTGCTCCACATTAACCGATGTTGAGGAAGACGGCTCAGTAGGGAAGGTAAAAGGTATGAATACTTTTTTCCAGGATTGTAGTAGTTTCTTTAATCATCTTTCTGAAAATGCTCTTTCTTTAGTTATACACTTGGAGCTCTGCGGAAATTGGGGTGCGCCAGGCTTGATCGGACTTTGTGGACTGGAGCTACTTGACAATAAGGATGATGTCATCGATCCATCGACGATGACTATCTCAGCGAATGACGGATCTGACTGCGACTCCCAGAGGTGAAGAAACCATTTCACCTTCTGAAAAGTTTCGTGTTATTGATAATAATCGCTCTATACTATGTCCATTCAGTTATATTATTACATAGAACAAAAATATAATTGAAAAGCAATTTTGAAAAACTCTAACCCGGCTCAAACTACACATTCGCAGCAGTACTGGTTCATTGACAATGGCGTTAATTTCTCAATCTTTAGTGTAGAAGAGAAGCTTAGAACGAAAGTGGGATGTATTTCCAACGCTATTAGGGCAGCCACCATCACCAACGTTGATACACTGGTGAACACCACCATTTCTTGACAGACGAAATCCATATTATTCAGAAGGTTTCGCATTCGAAATATGAGCTACCAACTGAAGGAATATGTATCCGTTAGACTTTAGAAATCCACGCTTTCATTTTGCAAAAGGAGGAAACTTGTTTCATACTGGTGACGTGGAGATTTAAATAGTCTTCATTCTAGTCAATAGACTCGGCAATGAGTTGAGACATGTTTTTTGTCATTTTGGGATCCCTAGATCAATCCTGTTGACGGGTGATTACTGATGTGGTCGATAGGAAAACGAAGGTCTTGCACGGCGTGATAGGAACGCGTTAGCCCCTGGAAAGGGTGACAGCCCATTCGTTTCTCACCGCAGACACCTGCGGTCCGGAGTTTTGCAAGTATCTCAGGATCATTGAGATATGTTGGTTTGAAGTTAGAAGCAGATATTTGTTTCGCAAATTCCTCCAAATATGTCAAGAACCAGTGGAACTCTCATCTTTTGCAATAGTACAGAAATTTATTTCTTTCAGTAATCTGAGATTTTGAGTACGTGGAAGCGAAAAATTCTTCAACAGCCTTCACAGTTTTCTTATCGACGATTTTTCTGAGCCCTAGGATTTTCCAGCCCCTAGATTTTCTCGCTAGATAGACAAGGTCTTTTGAGCAGTGAAGTCCGTTGGGCAAAAGTGCAATGAGTACGCTGGATGACCAAAAGTTTCGTAGCTTTACGTGTTCAACTTCAACAGAATTAATTGTGCAGTGCCTCACCGAGTGTTGTTGAACAAAGCGATTGGACGTTTTCTGTTGACAGTGCCTGGATACATACATTGCAGTTTTGATTCATTTCGTTAATTTCGTGATAGTAATTTCCTACTTGCTGTGGTATTTTCGCACTTAATCCGGTTGTAGACCACAAAACTTACAGTATAAGCTTGTTCTTTTAGGTGACCCAGCATCACGTACCATATTGCGCAGGTCTTAGCACTCTTCACACATAGTTTATTTCCTCGCATCCACCATCCACAAAGGTTCTGCAGCTTTTGTTTTCTCTGGGTTCAACTGCCACTTGAGAATTTTTGTATACCATGAATGTCATTGAACGCTGGTCGAGACGTTTCTCTTTGAAATCCTAGAATAGCCTTGGCAGGGCTTACATGGATTAGCGAGAGGTTCACTAACAAGTCTGGTACCAACTTCTCAACGATGGAGGAGTGGAAGCTTTCGTTTGCCCGGGTGGCGTCGAACCAGTGCCTGTACTTCCCCGTAATGAATGATTTTTGGACCATTACCACTTCGTCGTACGTTACAGCACAGTCAAGGATTGGGTCTTTTGTTTCGCAAAAGACATATTTTTTAATTCTATACGACCCGCATTCACATCTAGTATGCGAATTCTAGCACTTCCCACACTCGATTGAGATCAACACCGTGCTCATGATAACCGTCATCATTACCGCTGTGCTATTCACCCCATAAAGAAACAAAAAAAAACCGATTTCATAACGAATATCTCTCAGCCATTCCTTCATTTCGTGCGACACCAATTTATTGGATTTTTTCAGCATCCTGTCTTCTTTCAAGTCAGAAGCCATTGTAGAATCATGAATATTGAGTCGTTCTATCACCCCTCGAGCAACATTTAGAGCGACATTATCGTTTATCTGCTTCAAGTGGTGAGCATCAACTTCTTGTAGGTCTTCACGACCTTCTCCATCACCGCTCGATATCTTGGACGGGGACGCCATGTATTCCTAGTATTGAGGCTAACTTATTGCTAAGCGATTTCATTATTACCAACTTGTTTTTCTGCTAAGGTTCGGAAGTGTCCTCCCTGTTGAGTCCACAAATCTTCACTAGATATAATAGCCAGCTTTTGTGATTCAAAGGATATTGTCTACCTTGCGATACCTACCAGGTCGGCAGTAAATTTTGGCATTTGTTTATCCTTCACCAAGTCGACACCCAAGAAGATCCACGATGAGGCGGCTCGTGAAGCTGCGAAGTAATACTCATATTAATAAAGAAAAAATATTTGATGTTTAGAAATAACCAGCGTTTTTCGACTTTGGTTTGCAGAAAAATCCAAAATAGTCTATGACAGACTTCTGAATGGCAACAATCTTACGCGATCGCCGGACGATATGTGGCTTACCACATTTGATCCGAAGTATCCACCAACGATCACCATTATGCTTCTTAAGCCGACAGTGGTGAAAGGTATTCTGATTCCTTTTATCCACTTTGAAAACGCTTACTCTAAGTAATCGTTATAGGAATTTCCTTCTGGAACTACAACGCTTCACAGGAGTTGGCATACGCTGGCGTTCGTTTGCTGAATATCTGCACCAATGGGAAGGCGGTAGTCAATAACGTTCTCCTGAGGAAAGCTCCAGGTATCTTCAACAATTTCCTTGCTTAATGCTTAATGGCTCTTGTTTCTCATTTGTAGTGTTGAGAAAAAGAGCCGCTGTTTAGTCCAAGCTTCTAAACCCTTCTAAACTGTGTCATTGATTCTAGAAAGTATTCTGGAGCATTCAGGATTTGTGCTGTTCGACTTCGTGCAGGACGTGCATATAGATCGCCATCCCACCATCAGACCACTAATGCGTCCTGCTACGCATTCAGTTTATGGATGTAAGTGATTGTTGATATGATGAGAAGAATGGAAAATGGGAACTAATGATGTTTCAAGAGAGATGCGTTTCCTTATAACCTTTTTGAGAACTGTTCAGATTGTCAAGTTGCTTGATTTCTAGCAAGTCGACATTCTAGAGTGCTCAAATAGCTATTCCAATTTTCTGTTCAGAAATATTTTTACACGACTCCCAGTCACGTGTTGTAGAGATCCCACCACTTCTTGAACTTGATTCGCTTCCTCATATTTGTCGTTAACGAAGATTATCGAACTTTTTACTTATGGGTTCGTCTGGTGCTCAACGATTTTCCTCTTATTTATGAATTTCGTTGAATGCTGGTCAAGTCGATAATACCTCGGGTCTTAAAGTAACCGTGCTAAGACGTTATAAGATCTTCATCATAGTCGACCAAACGAGCTGATTCCGGACAAGTCTGGTACGAATTTTACAATCCCAGAACGATTGGAATGAGCTTGGGGCTTCAAATGCGAACTCGAACCATCGTTTTATTCTTGCCTAACGGAATCATTTCCACTGCGCTACAAACTCTCTTCAAGAATGTAATACTGCTTAAACGTATAACATATATATTAAAATTTTTCACCAGGTTTAAATATTCAAAGAGTTGGGCGCGAAATGTAAATTCTTTTCTTTTGATTAACTTTTTATTAACTGCCTATTACAATTTTTACGGCACATTATGATGTGGAATACAACCACTATGACGGTGAGATATTTGCAAAACTTGAATTCCAAGCCACAGGAAGCGATTACCCTTTCCGGTGGCTCACATGTTATCCGCTGCACCACGGCGCCCCTTGTTTTGCTTTTCTCTCAGCTAGTTTTCCACCTAATGCTGCCACCAGCAATCACCTGCCAAGAGGAATGATCTGGGGAGCTGATGTCGGTATTGAACCCACTTAAGCTGAGGCTGTAATCGAAACCACAGGGTTAACTTTTTCATTTCTTTTTATATTTTTTTCATTTACTGTCTTATATTATTTTTTACGGCAGCTTCTCCAGCTTAACTCGGTTCAATGCCGATTTGCGCCCTCCAGATCATTCCCATTGACGGATGATTGTTGATGGAACTGTTACATAAAAAACTGGCTGAGAGAAAGGCAAAGCAGGCTCCTCTTTGGTGCAGTGGGTAACACGTGAAGCCTGCAAAGGGAAACCGAGGGTTCGATCTGGCTTGTGGTTCAAGTTTTGCAAATATCTCAGCATCATAGTGCTTGTAATCGAACTTATTTTAGTCATATTCCAACTGCGATTGCTCAGTTCGTGGGGCGATGAGTTCTACATTGGCTTAAATGGAATCGAACTCTACGATCGCCAGGATAAAAGGATCAACGTTGGGCCACACAGTGAGACCGCACAGTCTACGTTTTTACAATTGGAAAATACGATATCTAAAAAAAATTTGGTTTTGGCAGTCGCTAAATCTCGACAGAGTGATCTAGGCCTGATATTTTTAACATGAAGAGGACTATGATTCGTTGCAGATCTGGCGGCATTTCCTGAAAGCGTCAACATCCTTCCATCAGTCGAAGGCGATCCCAGAGCTTGTCTGAATCTCATTAATGGATGCAACGACACGAACCGGTAGAAGCTTAATCTTTAATGGGCAACAAGATTTAGGTTTCAAATGTTGGGTGTTGAAAAACTCAATAGTCTGAAATGTTAGTTCTTCAAAATTTGACTTTTTAAAATCCAGTCGAAAATTCAACTTTCTAGCAGAAGTTTGCAAAGCATATGAACTTTTGAGAGTTGAAATTTATTGCTTCGCACCTGCTTTATGTGATCGATCTACCAGGAGATCGTGGTGGATAAAAGATTGAACATCAAAGTCTTTAAATATTTAACCTTTAACTTTTTTATCCCTAACTTTTTTTTAAAAATTTGCACTGATACCAATGAACTTTGAAATTGGGATTCCTTCGTGTGCTACACCGAATTGCTTCATGTAATCAATATCTGTTTATAACGTTTACACGAGGTTGATAAACATGTTTATTCGGCTGTTTCGACGGTTTCGTCTTCATCAGAGCTGACGATCCTTGTCGATGGTCCACAGTTTTTCCTGTTCTCGAGGTGACATCTTCGTCTCGCATCGAGCTGGATCTTCCTCAGCGGAGAGTCTTTCTCGAATGAGCCATTCTCACCCGGCAATGCTCTTTTGCCCAGGGCGGTTGCTGTTGATATTGTTATCCGTTGATAATAGCTTGTTTTTTCAACGGATAGCACACCCTTCAAAATTACTTCAGTTATATCTTTCGTCGAATGTGACTGTATTTTGTATGGTGCCCATAACTTTTTATACTCGCATCTACCATATTTCTGGTGCTAATATTGGGTCTAACAAATGAGCGCGTTGTTCAGAATACTTGCCAGTGTAACAGTGATTTTGTTGAGAAGAAAGTGGATAGTGCTGCTTTTCGGTTGCTTCAAATAGCTTTATTCAAAAGTAATCAGCTGCTTTTGTATCACGTGAAGCAGCAGCCAAACATAATCCTGTCAATAATCGGATAACAGAAGCAAACACCCTGTAAAATTTCCATCCGTTTCTGTTCGTCATAGGAAAGAACCAAGCGTTGGATCTCCACTCAGCAAGCGCGAAAGTCGTCCTGTTTCGGTATTGTCCTTTTTTTACTGTTAATGCCCAAAAATAGCTCCAAATAAGCGCTTTTACGGCAAATAGATTTACTCCTATCAAGCTTCCTAACAGAGACTTCGAACTAGTCTCGGTATAGGTGAGGGTAGACCACACTGTACTTTAAGACCTGGGAATAGCACCACCTAAAACGGCAAATCAATGTGCGGCTGCTTGATTAGTTGCTCGTTCTGGCTTCACGTTGATTGAAGTGTGGCTTGCTTGAGCGAATATTAGTAAATTCTCCATTTCTCCCTTTCGGGTCCAAGAGCAGTCGTCCAGTGGCTTCTGTTCGCTCTAGACTCGCTGAGCATCATATCCTTCTTATACGATCCCTATTGAAGATCTTCCCAACGGGTAGATGGTGCTCCTAATGTGCGTTTGAGATGCCGTGGAAACCATTTGCAAATGGATTTAGTCTATCGGTTGTTATCCGGACGCACACGTCTTCGACTCACCTGATTTCCGACATTTCTTTATGCATAACGACGTCTTGAAAATTAAGACTCTCCTTATGTGATATGGAATACTTTTAATATCATCGTCTCGACTGCGCTTTTGATAGCGCTGAATAGTATTTCAACCTGCTTGTAGTGTCTAAGTTTCCAATTCGTATGTTGCAACGGGAATAATCGTAAAGTCATAGATGTCGGCAAAGAGCAGGATGTCTTTATCTTCTTTACTACATCTTCAATGTTTCTGAAAGCTGTACAAGCCGCTCCTTTCTGCGCGACTTAGGGGTTATGTCGTTCATCTTGAATTCACGACCCAGCTACAGGGAAAGCATTCATAGGTACTCATTCCGTCGACCGTGAGTGAAGCATCAGAAATAATTCCTATTTTATGGACGAGTTTTCCCTGAGATTTTATCAAAGACCAGTATTTTTACAGGAGTTGTTAAAATCGGCCAACGTTCATTTCGCTTGATGTTGTAAGAACGATATCCTCACCGAAGCGAACATCTTGAACTTGCCGACTATCAATTTTCACTTCCATGTTATCCATTCGGTGACTGTTCGATTAGTTTGGAAAACAATTCTCGAACCTTGATCCTAGTCATTTCTTCGCCTTTCGCGAAGATCTCAGTCCCTAGTTGATCGGAAGGTTTTGCAAGCTCAGGAACGTAACCCGCATTGCGATGTTGCACCCGATTCTCCGTAAACAAAAATTTTCCATTTACAAAAATTTTTACGAGACTTTTGTACAAATGAACATTTATGGAAATCTTTCTTAAAAAAATAAAGATGAAAAATAAAGGATAATAAATATACATAACATAATATAATCACAATATAATGAAAATAAAATGCAATGCATAAAAATGTACAATAAAATATAATGAAAACTAAAAATCTTCTCGAAAAGCGTCGTTATACGAAAGAAGATGTCGAAACGTTAGCCGAAAATTAACATCATTATCAACCTCGTGTAAGCTCATCAAAGAAGGAATAAAAATCTTCTATTTACAAGAGTCGTTTTTTCTAGTCATTTGACAAAATATTCTTTGAAGGACTTTGTTAGATGTTAGAAAACATCAGCTTTCTGATTAGCGCAGAGCAGATGTGGTTGACACCGATACTTCCGAATCGCTGTGCACGGGTGTTCTTCGTATTCGACGATCCGGTTGCCGTGTCTACCATCGTCATCTACAATTACCGCAAGACACCAGCAAGGGGAGTGCGGCATATTTCGGTGAGTCGGCTAAGATGATCGAGTTCTTACAGCATTCGCCTTACGTCTGCAGCTGGTCACCATATAAGCCGAAATATAACAGAAAACTGTTCTGAAGTTAAAAGTTCATATGACATCTTGCAATTCATTTTTAGGATCTGCCATTAGAAGGGTATATTATAGTTGTCTTGAAATTAATGTCGTTGGCAGGGATCGATAGAACTAGTTGAAAGACAGACGAAACGAAGGCCCCGCATGGTGTGGTGGTGAGCGCGTTAGTCTACGGAAAGGGTTATATCGCGTTCGTCCACACCGCGGACACCTGCGGTTTAGAGTTTTGCAAATAACCCAGTATCATTAATGTCGTTGTTTATCACCCAAGACTAGTTTTGCTTACTTTAACTGGTACTAAACTTTGTTATCGAAATAAAGACGGCTAGAGTTTACATATTTTACGGAAACCTTATTTATTCTCTCACGGCAAAACTCAATCGCTCCTAAAACTCACTAATTTCCTGAAGGCTTTTCCTGCACCAGCTTGGTTGTTGATGGAATTTGCCCGCAGCTAGTTATCGAAGCGTTTAAAAATAGTAGTCCCGTAACCGAAAATCGGCAAAATCTGCTCGATGAGCCGGAAACTGGTGCAACAATTCTTCTCAATTGTTTGCTTTCTGGTGGATGGTCGAAATAGATCCCGTGATTTCAGCAAAAAGCCCTAACCTAGTCAATCAGTTTGCAGTTCATTCACAGACATGAATTAGCCAGCTGATTGGATAATTTGTATTCCCTTTCACTCTTCTATTAATTCCATTTAGTATTTTAGGTATCTATTGACGATATAATTGTGTATTCCGGGGACGTTCCAGCGAGTACCGCAGAGGCGACGGGAATACTCCAGATCAACATCCGGGAGACGTGATCTCTCCGTAACTAGCACACTTCCATCCGCGTGTTAGTCTTCTTCGACTTCTCGAACAACATCGCAATAAAGACAGGTCATCGTTACGGAGATATCACCTGAGAATAAACTGTTTTATTTGAATAGAGCTAATTACATCTTCTTAAAGAAAGTCTAAAACTGTCTGGTTGTGATACCAATCATCATAAAAGCTATAAAAATGGACAACGAATCCTTTTGTGACACATCTTTATGCACTTATCAGAAATTTATTTAAATCTTTTCTACGGCTTGCGATAAAGTCGTGATCGGTAGCTTAATGGCTATGCTGTTATGCCACGGGCAGCGTTGAACGTTTATGCCAGGACAAATCTCTCATATGTCGCAAGCCTTCCTATGCACGAGTTGATTCTACTGTGACATACTGGCACTTTCCTATTCCAGACTTAATTTAACCTCATTTTGTGTGTTCTATTTTTCAGCTGATTCTTTGAAATCTTCGTGATTATGAGCTTAATGCTCTATTTTCGCCTGTAATTTACTGTGTGATGGTTTGATTTGTCATCACCTTGAACCTTGTCTAGTGTTATCCTTAGGAGCATGTGTGTTTCCGTCTCCGCACGTACTGAGAGTGTTTCTTTTTCACGTTCACGCGCTTTAGTACCATGCTTCATGAAAATTTCTCTGGTCGAGTACTAATTAAAGTAATGAAAGCCCGAAAGACCGACTTTCTATGAACCTCGGCATAAATAGTTGATATATTTATTTATGTGATCTTATAAACTGATCTTCTTAAGCTGACGCGAGGTTGGTACAGATCTTCGTTGTCGTTGTCGTAGTCGTTGTTTTTGATGTTATTGATCGATGGCTGACGTTTCGGCGACTTCGCCTTCCTCAGAGCCGTGATGTTATGTGCGGGACTGGCCCACACGTAACATCACGGTGAGTGGCCTTTCTGTTCAATATGGCGTCTATTTGAAAGTTTGATCTTCATTAATACTTTAACCTTCTTTTCCACCGAATAATAAAAAGTATTCTAACATAAAATACGTCCAGGCTCTGAGGAAGGCGAAGTCGCCGAAACGTCAGCCATCGATCAGTAACATCAAAAACAACGACTACGACAACGACAACAAAGATCTGTACCAACCTCGCGTCAGCTTAAGAAGATCAGTTTATAAGATCACATAAATAAATATAATGAAAGCCAATGAAACTTTACAGAACGTCCCAAGGACAGTTACATATGTTGCTAAGCAATCCAGAGCTATTCTTCCTGCCTACTACCAATTCCACAACTTAAATGAACGCCTACAATATAGTGGTTCAAGAAGTCTTTAAAGTCTTTATATTGAAGATAAACTAAGACCAACGCAAAAGATATAGAAGCTTCAGAAGTTCCAAGGTAGAAGGACAACCAAATTGGACATAACTCATGGTGGATTTGTACAGAACGCAGCGAAAATAGTAATGGGAAAAACGTAGTTGGACGAAATCATCATATCCGATTCCTCTTGAATCTCTGAATATCCTTCAAATACTTCCTAACGGTGTATTTTTGCTTAGTGATGAAGATAAATGCATTTGTTTCCAAATATAAATGACATTACTCAGAACCTCAATAAATATTCTTACTGGCATGCATCTATTTATTATTATCATTATCAATTGCTATTCATTATTATCATTATTGTCACTCGCGTGTGGCGCAGTGGTTGGAGGCACCACTGCGACACACACGTGGAATCAATTTCGGCGCCCATGGCCCACCAAGCCTTCGATTCCTCTGGGGTCGGCAAATTGGTACCAGACTAGTCTGGGAGGATAACAACACTGGCTCGATACATCGATAGTCCACCGCGGGTCATTGTAAAGGCCAGATATGCATTCAATCACCTCCAAACGGTGCTTAGTGAAGTCGAATGCATGGTGCATCCCTCAGAGATTGATCAATGCCGAGATCTTTATGCTTTATCCTTTTTGTTATTAGTACTTACTATTTAAATGTTTCGTCATAACAAACACTGCGCGAATTCCAGCACTGCTTGCATTCGATTCGTTTTCGTCGCACTCATTGTCCGGAATGGTTTCCGAACATTTCGTGTGTACACCTTTTTATTCACTGCCTACTGCAGTTTTCCCCGCCAAGGTATTATCTAAAATACAACCACAATGATGCTGCGATATTTGCAAAACTCAGAATCGCAGGCGTCTGCGGTGTGGATCGAACGCGCTGTTACCCCTTCCGAGGGCTAACGCGTTCATCACCACACCACACTGCTCTTTCGTTTTACTCTCAGCTAGTTTTCTATCTACCAGTGTCGATGGCAATCTTGTAAATAGCCGGGCTAAAGCGTTCAGACGTGGAGTGGAGTAGAGCATTGGGCATGGGGTTGAAGAAGCACCTTTACATAACGGGCAGCATCACTGACCACTCCGCTACCCACTTTTGACACAAACGTGCAAGTTTGCAAAACACATTACTAACGTGAAGACACAAAGTCTGTTAAGATAAAACTGAAAGTTCAAGAAGAAAGAGTCAAAACCATATTTCAAACAGCCTGAACAGTTGCTTCGTCAAACATTACAAAAAACATGGTTCATTGTTACTGTGAGATGACAGCATAGCATCACCTTCTAGATACCACGTTCGATAGCGTTTATCCTCACATTTCACACTCAACACGGGGGCTATAAGTGGCAATACAGATATACAGAGGCAACGGACTCAGTATATCCAATTTCCGTAATCTCTTACAGTGTTAACGAATTTACTTCTCATCGAACACATAGAGAGCTCTAAAATATCAGGCCACCATCTCAAACCTACCCATTCTACCTCTCTTTCAAATATATTTTGCAGATTTGTCACAAATTATCACAGTTCTAGTTCTACCAGAACACTAACGCAATAAAGCAATACGAGTAATATATACATTTAATATTTACACTGACTTTACAACGACCACCAAATCGGCATTAGAGCTTGAAAACCACACTCACGAGAAAACTTGGAATTTCTGAACACCTCCATTCTCTACAAGAAACCAAGACAGTAAAACTAAATTCAAACCCAGCTGAAGATGGAGATTTATGTAAAACGGATATGATCTAGTGTTGTGTCCACTGAATACTCTTTAAATCAATTCCTTCTTGGACCATTTCCCAAAGTGGACTGAGCTCACGCAAGCGCTCCACTTCCTTAACGCATAAATCGATCGTGTGCTGTACCTGAAACATTCTTTAACAGGTACAGATAAAACGCAAGTAATTTGTATAAAGGAACGTATTCTATCCGTATCTTAGATCGGATTTGAATCGTTTAGTCTTTTATGTCTTCAGGATACGAAAAACTGGAAAAGCAATTTCTTATAGTAACGGTACAAACCAAGAAATCTCGAGCGACTTTTTCCACGCAAAACCATGCTAGGAATTTCATGCTTTTATTTGCAAAAAAGACGCATGTAGCGCAGTGGTTAGAGGTGACCAGCAAAACACATCGGTCGGTAGCTCGATTTCGTGGCTCGGGCTCATCCTCCGGAATCAGCAAATAGGTACCAGAGCTATCCGCGAGTGTAGCAACTGACTCGACAGATCCGTACGCTATCGCAAATCCTACAAGCTGGATATGCATCCATCCAATTACGCATGGTAGTTGATGAAATCGAATGCACAGCATTTATGGATTGATCAACTCCGAGAGCTCCATTTTTTTTATCCTTTATTATGTTTGCTTTAATATTTGAACAGTGTTATGATGACTGAAACGAATTTTATGGGTTCTAGGTAAATTTACACTAGCACCTTTCCCTCGCAACCACTGTTCTTGGAGGTCGTTTTCGGTTCCCAATGCCTTCCAGTGCAACCTCTTCTTCCAGGTGTTCCCGATTGATAATAAAGCTGGTTCTTATATCCAATGAACGTACAGCATGAAAATGTTGTAGTTTGTTAGTCAACACTCCGATCTGTTGCTGCAGTGTCGTATTCGTTTGTAGATTGCACAAAACATCAAGTCACTAATGTGGAACATTACGTGTACAATATATGATGGATGTTTATGTATTCCTATGTGTACTTCACGTCTCATAAGCATGCAGAAGTACCTACTGTTACTTATCTATGGCTTTCTAAAATAACTACAGAACTCATGAGTTGCTTTCTAATTGTTCTCACCTCTTACACATATGTATTTTATATTTTTATTCACTTCTATATAGTATTCTAGGTAAAGTCGCTGTGATCAAAAAATCCAGCAGTTTCGATTAGTTTTCCAAAGTAATACGCCTTTTCCATGAAGTACGCTTGTGATCTTTTGAAGTTACTTCTTCACGCGCTGATCTGATCCTTTAACCTAGGTGCCTTCTTCATTACACAGCCTACTTCTGTTTCACTAGTACTTAATGAAAAGATAACCACTCCTTCGGTGCTATTAAAAATCCAAAGAACCTTTTTCAGTATTGGCGTGTTTTCGTCGATATTCAACAATTTCGCTGTCAGCCACAAGATGCTGGTGGAGACAACTGCAGTGCGTTGGCATCACTGGTTGAAAACACTCCACCATTTCCTTCCATGTAGCAGCACTACATACAACCGATTCTCATAGAGGGATCACATGCCGGTCAGTCGCGAGGCAACGTGGCACGTCCTCAAAGTGGCGGATAGAGGTGTTTATCGCAAACTAAAACCGGGCTTATGCTTCCCTAAGGCGCAGGTGGGTCCAGGGAACTCCCTGTTTCTGCAGCGCCGATTTGGCAAACTTCATGACTTCTGTGTTAGCGTGCAAGTATTCATGCATGCGTGCAACGGTGCGTTTTCGTTTATGAGGTTTGTATTCCACGAGTCGATTCGTCCAAAATCCTGGGATCAAGTTGCTCGGAAATACTTAGAAGGCGGTTAGAAGCTGCCTCTAACGAACAAGCTTCCACTATATTCTGGGAGATAGTAGCAACGTATCCAATGATTACACCCAGCTCAGCAAGCTACAAGTCAGTATTAAACGCTAAACACAGCATAATAAGTAAGTCTCATTCCTCTGACGCCGAAATAGTCCTTCATATGTCAGAGTTGGGCAGGAAAAGTACGGAGAGGTTCCTGAAATCTCAGGGCCATTCTAGGTCGCTTGAATCGCAAAGGACTAAAGTGACGACCTGTACCTAAAATGCGCGATCACTTGAAATCTGAGTCCCCATAGACGACTTGATCATGCAGGAGAGAAGAACAACTTACGACATAATCGGACTAGCTGAAACGAGAAGACTCCAATTATTCAAGGCCGTCAATCATCCCGGAAAGAACAGTTCCTCGAAACCTGCGATAACAGGGAAGCCGGCATTCTGGTCAACTTGGCCATAAACATCGATTCATTCAGACAAATAATAAGCCGTATCGGAAGTCAACGATTAAAAAGATTTAGAACAACACCGATATTGACAATCGTTGTCGTTCTACGAACCGACATCAAGCTATGACAAAGACGAGGTCGAAAAGTTCTATAGGGACGTGGAGATGTTTTACAGAGAAGACCTCACATTCTTTAAGGTCATCACTGGAGATTTTAATGCTAACAGTGAACCCAGCAGAACGTTTGAGGAACAAATTTGGACCCATGGATTAGTATGGAACGAGCAGGATAACCGGCTATCCAAGGTTATAATGACCAAGACCATCCATAGTAACTAATAATTCCAGAAACCCCGCTCTCGGCGATGGACGTGAAAAACCCTCAATGAAATAGTACCATAATGAGAAAGACCAGTTCAAAGTAAATCGAAGGTTTTGCCCAACCAATGTTGTCCCAAAATTCAACGCGGAATAAGACCAACGATCGATCCCCTCACGCAAAATTCCATTTCTCGCGAAAAGAAGAGAAAGGCGCTAAGTTCAAAAAACCAAGTCCCAAAACCACAACAAGCTGGGATTTATTTAGAACATTAACCGATTCTTGGAAAGACACCATTATCGATTATATCGACGAGTAATACAACCAGCCTAGTAGTCACCTTCTCAACAGCGCTACGAAAGATGAGAGTTCGAAAGTTGCCAAGTGACGTCTGTTTCAATAAACCCTCCAGCGCATACGCCAGCGTAAAATCGTGCCAGATACAAGCAACCACTAACTCGCGTCCGAACTTGCAAAACAATGACAAACGGTAAAAGAAGATCTTAATGGGAGCAGAGCAGTAGTTACGATCGAAGTTGCAGAGGCTAAGACAACCAATTCCAAAACACACAGAAATGTCGCCAAATACAAAACCAAAATGATTGCATTCTGATGCCCAGGTGAAACTGTTACAGCGTCCCGAAAGGCAATGAAGAAAATAATTCATGATTACTACTCGGATCTCTTCAACATCCAAGTCCTCCTGCCTTCATATGAGATAAAGGAGGATGGATATGTCGTGCCACCAGGTCTCCTTTCCAAAATCCGATATGTTGTGTCGTCGGTAAAGAATCGAACAGCACCAGTCTGGGCATGATGAGATCTGAACACTTGAAAGGCATTTCGCCAATCCCCATCAACACCATAGCTCTGCTGTTCACACATCACCTGTTCACAAGCAAAGTTCCTAATCAATGAAAAACCAGCACGATCGTGTTACTGTTCAAGAAGGGTGACCTTCACGAAATCGGAAATCACTGCTGCAATTTGCTTGCTGTGTGCGTTTTAAAAACTCTCCACTCGAGTCATCCTAAACAGGATTGAAAGAACACTGAACGAAAGAGATTGTTTCGAAAAGGATTCAGTAGGGTGGCCCGCCTCCACAAGGTAACAAAGCTCACTGAAGTATTACTAATGTACAATAGACCACTCTGTCTCTTTTATCGATTTAAAAGAAGCATTCGGCTAAGCTGAGACAGAAGCAGTCATGGAAGCCCTTAACAAACAGGAATCTCTACTTAGTATATAGCCATTATTCTTGAGCTATATAAAGACTTCACAACTAAAATATCATCATTCTATAACAACATTAACATTGACGTAAAAATATGGGTCATCCAAGGTATTACCATCTCGCCAAAATAATTTAGCACAACGTTCGAGAACGTCATGCGAACATTAGAATAGGATAATATGGGAGTGAAAAACAATGGTAGGCAATTGCACCATCTTCGCTTTGCTGATGACATCGTTCTTATAACACTAAGTATTAGCCAGACGGAACGAATGTTTGCGGAAAGATTGGTGTTCGGTTAAATCTTTCATAAGAATGATGTTCATGAGGAACGGATGGGTTTTCTGTGCCCCATTCACTCTCAACGGAACAAACATTTCTGAATGCTCCTGCTACGTCTCTCTAGGTTTTGAAATTAACATAATGAATGACTTAGCACCAAAGCTGAACAGGAAGTGAGCGGCTTGGGAAGTTTTAAAGAACATCGAAAATGTTGTAAGGTGAACAAAGAACACAAGACTCCGTGCACACCTTTTCGACTCCATAATTCTTTCTACGTTAACGTATGCATCAGACACCTGTTTGCTGCGTAAGCAGAATGAAAAATCACTCAGTCTTATAGGACGTCCAGTAGAGGGAACGCTGATAGGAGTACCCCAGAACGCGTAAGTGAGAGATCAAGCTCATGGTTCTATATGCGAAATTGTCACAGCCCTAGGGTACACCAGACAGGTAATGCGCCCGTATGATAACCAGTGGTTATTAATAACTATGGGTTTAATCTCTTCTCTCATGCCATTTAATACCGCAGATAGCATACATCCAAAGCTATAATATGATTTACTTCTCGTGATCTGAAAGCTTTCGTCGGCATCCGGAGAAGAGCCGTTCAAAACCGTTTAGATTTTCTCCACGCCTTTTTGAATCCTAGGTAATAATTTGCTTTTTTGAACCTAGAGTTCTACACCAATTTTTTACGTTAGCCTAAGCTTACAGATTGTAATTTTTCACATGATCCGACCTCACATGTGCGGATCTAAGGAATTTTCACAGTATATTCGTTTCCTTGCTTCAATCATCAACGAAGGTCTTCGAAATTTTGCGCGGGGGATTGGCTGGTACTTGAGGATTTTCACAGTCTTATCATCGTATTATTGAATGTCACTTGAGCCGATTCATCTGGAATCGGGGATAGCTGTGTGAAGGCGTTCCCAGACGTTCATCACAGGCATTCGCCATCTTTCATAGATCGCAAAGAGTTCGCAAATCCCAGATGTCTGTTACCAACTTGCCGATTCCGAAAGGATAGAAGGCTTGGTAAGGAAGGGAGGAGTTCGACACTTTTATTATAGTTGCTTTATCGCCTTTGTACTGCTGTTGAACTTCCAAATCACAATGGTCTAAGTCCTTTTCACCTCTTTCTCTGTAGTGAAACGACCGATACCGAAGCGAATCGATGAGTGTGCTAAATCTTCTTCTGCACCGATGGCACGCAAAACATACGACGGCTCCAATGATGCAGATGTGCAGGCGCTACCAGATGACAACGCCACGCTTTTCAAAGCCATTAATAACGACTCTCCTGAAAAGATTATGTTAAAATAATTACGATAAAACAGGCACTCGTTCTTAGGCGTTTAACACTAATTGTCACCAACACCCAGGAAAATGAAACAGTACCTGAATGCGCTAAAAAAATAATGAGATCAACAGAAACACTACCTTCGACGTACGCAAAGGAAAGATTAACACATCCAGGGTAGGCATGATCAGGATCGCCGTTTCGAATTATTTCACTCAGCTTTGATTGTATGCCATCAAGAAGCATGTTTGAAAGTCTTGTAACATGAGCAGCATCCATCTCTAAAGCTTACAACTGACATCAGAATTATACATTAATGAGATTGACAATAAACTAAATACAGTAAAAATTCGCAAATAAATACTGGCTAGGATCCCATACCCATTTCCTTGCTAGCGATACGGCATGCTTCACCTAAGCCAACACAAAGTGCTGTTGGAAGCGTTCCCGATCTCATGCCACGTTCTTGACCACCACCACTCATTTGGGCCTCCAAACGCACACGAGGCCGTCGGCGAACGTACAACGCACCGATACCTCAAACACTTCTGGGTGATTGCTGATGGCAAAAGATCAATAGAACTAGCTGAGAGACAGGCGAAACGAAGAACCCACATGGTGTGGTGTTGAACGCGTTACTCCCCGGAAAGGACAGTAGCGCGTTCGTTCGCCACCGCAAACACCTGCCGGTCCGGAGTTTTGCAAATATCTCAGCACTATGATAGTTATACTTCTGGTATTGTTGCATGAAACACATGACAAATACTACTCATAACCTCACCTTTCGGACCATAGATCTTGTGTCCAGAAATTGACATAAGATCTACCTTGAGGGCATTGACATCGATAGGCACTTTGCCAAGCGCTTGAGCCGCATCTGTGTGGAATGTCACCTTTTTCTCTCTGCAGATATCCCCTGGAAGACTCAATGAAAAACTTGATATTTCGATATCGGTAAGGTTTACTGAGAACGAAAGCACCCAAACTCACCTATCTCTTTGATTGGCTGAATCACCCCAATCTCATTGTTTACTGTCATTACAGAAACTAGGCACGTCTGAGGATTGATGGCATCCTCAAGCTTCTAAATCTTAATCGTTCTCACTAGAGAATATATCTTCATATTTAAATCTACAACTGTTTTAAAGCAACATAACTGAAAACTATCACAAAGGATGGGAACGAACGTGCACACCTTCAGATCGACACGACCTCTTTGGTCTACCGGGAGGTAAGTAACGTAAAAACCTTCCGCCTCCAATGAACGACAAGAATCTAACACGCATTTATGCTCCTGAAATATTTTTTCGCCTTTACTCTTTCTATTAGTGGAATGGAACTAAACTGTTCTCACCGTCTGCACAGTGATAATGTGGTTTTTCCCTGTGTGATGTTGGAATTTCGAAACTCCTTTGATAGCAATATTGTTAGATTCGGTTGCACCGGATGTAAAAACGACCTCTCGAGGATCTGCCTAGAGCGATTAGCCTGTTCCATGATTTAACCCCACTTCCATAAAAGATGAAAAGTCTCCTTACACAGACAAAACGCCTACATTTATGAGAGCTGCCACTTGTGCACGAGCCTTCTCCACGGCCGCTTCTGCTTTCCAGCCAAACGCATGCGTACGAGAATGCGCGTTCCCATAGTCATTCACCATATAAGGAATCATGGCGTCCACAACACGCGGGTCCTGAACCCTCAATCCATTCAAAAACTTCAAAACGCATTAAACGCAAGCTTACAACTCTAAAGCTATGGCTAAAACCGAAATGTTATTAAAAATTATAAAAGTCCATGTAACACTGAAAGCCCCCTTAGTCTGGAAATCAAGAGTCCAGAAAAAAATGAATTTGCAAAAGTCGAATTGTCTTCTAACAGTGTATCATCAAATACAAATATAATGAAATCCAAAACATCTGATTGTTACGCACAAACACTTAAAATTTTCACAAGTGGACATAGAAAAACAAAAACCTGTTTTCTCTGTTTGGTTGTGAAGGTGTTTGGCCGAATAGGTTGTTGCCGACGTGACCTTTCCAGGCTCTGAGGAAGGCGAAATCCGCCGAAACGTCAGCTTTTACGTGAGTGGAAAAGTGGAATAGCACCTCGTCTTTGCTGAGCAGAAGTGGAAAGAATTGTTCGATCAATGCCGAGGTTAATAGAAAGTCGGACGTGGGAGTTACTACAAGATGTACCAGCAAGATACTTCCGACTTGCAAAAGAAGCACTGTCACTAAGACAGAAGATCGTCTTAGCTCGACAGTCAATACACTTTCTCCGCCGCTGTCTAAAACATCGAGTCGTTCCGAACTTCATCAAACGAAGACGACTACACGAAGTATGCGGACTAACAGAGGATAGCCACCGAGTGCTGGACATCGAATTGAAAGTACTACGCACCTGTCTACGAAGCAAACAAAACCAGATGTTTGCCAAGTGGAAGAAATGCGAGAAGAAGGAAAACTATTGTGTTCAGCATTTGGATGACCGCCTCTGGAGGAGAACAGTGGGTGGGTCAGTGTTGATTTGCGACTCTATTAGGTCTAATGCTAAAGTAGCTTTGCGGAGAAAATTCGAAGACTTTTTGAGTAAATCGCATAACTCAGCTTCAATAGCGCACAGAAATACCGCTAACGAACATCAAACAGGTCACAGTAGGATAAGTAATGTGCAAGAAAACTCAAGGCTAACCGTGTTAGGAGGCACAACTCTCCCTGACGGTGCGCGCTCGTTATTAGAATTGGGGCCGAGTTTCTCACCATCTGAACCCATTTATAAGATAACCTTGCGTAGGGTCGCATGTAGTTTACATGAACTTCAAGATAGACTCCGCAGAAAAGCTAGAGATGAAGCGCGAAATAGGTGTGAACAACACCAAGTGGGGACCCTACCAATAGCACCATTTCCTCAGCTGTTCCTTAGACAACAAGGGTCCAATAATGAAGTTGATGTCAAATTTCGGATGTTTACGAATGAAACTCTCAAAGTCCTTAATCACTATCGCGCGAAAAGATACAGTTCAAACCTCACGGAAGTGCAAAAACGTGATATGAGAGAGGTTAAAGAGCTGATAAAGTTGAAAAACATAAGACTATCCGTTAGTGATAAGGGCGGAGAGTTTGCCGTAATTCCCCATCAGTTGGATGATGAGATAACGAAAAAGCATCTTGAAGATGCTTCGCTTTATCGCCCATCATCTGAGAAGGAGTTTAAAAGTAAATACCGAAAATTGGACCATGATTGGGCCAAAATGGCAAGGGCTGCTGGTTTGAAACCATCAGTTATCTCTCAACTTAAAGTTGCCTTACCAACATGCCCCGTCTTGTACTTACTTATAAAAACTCATAAGTTAGTATCCAACGATGATCTTGCGTCTACCGATCCATCATTATTTAAGGTTAGACCTATCATTAGCTGTGTAGACGGGCCAACGGACAGGATAACATGGTTTTTAACCCTAATATTTAACCAGCTGTTGGAACACATTCCGGCCCATCTTACGAATACCCAAATGTTTCTGGATCGTCTACGTACTGCGCAGCCCAACAGCGCGTGCGTGATGGAGTCCTTCGACGTTACCGCCCTTTATACAAACGTGTCGAATGACTCCGCAATGCAAGCCATATTCGAACTCCTTACACAACACGAAAGAGAAATAAACATGTATGGCTTCAAGATAGAGCACCTGATGGCACTCTTAAAAGAATGCTTGAGCTGCTCAATCTTCAGATGGTCCGGAAAGTACTACGCTCAAATAAGAGGGTTGGCAATGGGACAACGACTGACACCAAGTTTCGCCATTGCGTTTATGTCTAAGGTGGAAGCACCGGTGATTGACCTCGGGCCGCTACTCTACTGTAGATATATAGATGACTGTTTTGTCTTTTGCTCGACACAAGGGGAAATGGACAAGTGTTTCGAGTTGTTGAATAAACAGTCAGAGTATATCAAGTTCACCCGAGAGAAACCGAAAGAAAAATGGCTTCCATTCCTGAACGTCCAAATTAACCTATCAGAAAATGGCTACATTACGAAGTGGTACCGAAAGCCAAGTAGTAAAAACATCCTGGTACATTACCTCTCTTCTCACCTCTCTCACACGAAAAGAGCGCTTGTAAGAAACATGTTTCGAACAGCAACCAACGTGTGCACGGGAAGAGAGCAGAGAAAGGAGTCCCGGAACTTGGCACGGCAAACAGCCATTTCTAATGGCTACGAAACTGTAGCTCAGGACAGGTGTAGAGGAAATCGTAGGCCTCCAAACGACAACTCTAGCGATAGAAGGGTCCCGTTTATCCTACCCTTCATCTCAAATTATGTAAGTACAGTTATAAAACGCTGCTTAAGAAGGGCGGGTCTAAAGAATTCGGCAAACATAGTTGAAATCCCACCGAGTAATCTTAGGCGCCAGCAAGTTCGTAACCGACTGTATAACCGTCTATGTGCAACGCAAAATTGCATAATTTGCCCCAATGGTAAAGACGGTAATTGCATGAGCTCGGGTATAGTTTATCTGATCTCCTGTAAGGCGTGCGGAGACGAATACATTGGCGAAACGGGCAGACCCCTCTGTGTCCGCATGAAAGAACATCTAGCCGGCAAAAATAGACCAAATACCCCGCTAGGCACGCATAGGACCCAGAGACATAACGGGAATACTTTGAAGTATGTGTCACGATCCTCGCGCAGGAATCAAGAACACAAGCGCGCAAAACTCTAGAGGCGTTCTTGATCAATTCCAGAAATCCGAAAATGATCCGCAGGGAAGAATGCCTCATTATCACGCGTGATATAGGACAGTATATAAACCTGTTATTCTGATGGGAGGAGCACATTACGCTTCGAGGTGAATTCTGTGTGGTTGGTCTTCACACGACATACTCAGTGGAAGACTCATAGAAAGCGGTGAGTGTGCGGAGCTGTGTTCAATGTGATTGAAATCTTGGTTTGGCGTTTTCTCTATTTGGTTGTGAAGGTGTTTGGCCAAATAGGTTGCTGTAGACGTGACCTTTCCAGGCTCTGAGGAAGGCGAAATCCGCCGAAACGTCAGTTTTTACGTGAGTGGGGAAGTGGAATAGCACCTCGTGTTTGCTGAGCAGAAGTGGAAAGAATTGTTCGATGAATGCCGAGGTTAATAGAAAGTCGGACGTGGGAGTTACAAAAACCAAGGTTAACTTCTTATTTGCTATCTACTACAATTTTCCATGCCATGGTATTTATTATGTGAAGTACAACTACAATGATTCTGAGATATTTGCAAAACTCCGGACCGCAGGTGTCTGCGATAGGGAACAAACACGTTATTACCCTTTCCGGGGGTTAACGCGTTCACCACCCCACCATGTGAGTCCTTCGTTTTGCCTGTGTCTCGGCTTATTTTCTATCTGGAAAAGCAAAGTTTCAAACAAATTAAGATAATCGTTTTAAAAAGCAACGTACCATCGGTGAGGTGGCTTGGACATCGAGGTAGATCGGATATGCAGATGAAACATCCACTGCTTGTGTCGCTAAGGGACGACAGCATATGCGGGTCACGGCAACCGCACACCTTGTGACCATTATTTTCGGGAACAAAACAAGCTGGAGTGAAGAGACTGCAACCCAAAATGTTGTTTTCATAGGACTTATTTAAGACTACCTCGCCATGTATCTCCAATTTGTGAGATAAAAACGACGGCAAATGGCATTCCATATGTCTACTAGCAATTCACACCCATTTCGCGACTAGTCGATATTTGACTACCGGTCTTCACTGGATGTTCGGGTCTTAGCAAAATTCCGATTTTTTCGAAGTTTTGCTGGTTCCCACTGTGGTTCCCTGGAGCCCCTAGGTCAGCCTGGCCAAAGTCTGTCCCAGGTCGTCATCACCACAGACAGTCACCATCCTTGTGGATCAGGGGGAGATTTGCCACCATACAGCTTACTTCATACCAGGACGGCGTTGGATCTTAGTATATTCCACTAATATGGAATACTATTTAGTACTTGGATGGAATTAAAACGCAACACATTCAAGGCAACAACATCACTGCCAAAGAATCAGTGAACTCCTAAGTGTTAAGACTTCACCACCACTCTTCCCTAAAAGCCAAAAAAGTGGTCTTTTTGATTTTAAGCAACAAGCAAATCGAACAATGAAGAGACGTACGACAGATATTTCAACAAGTTCTCAAAAAGAGTCAAATCATGGATGGAAAGGTAAAGACAGATGCACAAAAGTGCTCGAGGAACAAGAAAAACTCCTATCCATTCCCGATACTTTGCCCTCCTGCTCTCTTTCCTTGGACAACACAATAATCTCGCAATTCGAACCGAAAACAAGTTTTGGCCTTGAATCAGGAGCAGAACCAAGAGCGGTAAATGCCTTTGAAACGGAACCAAAAACTTGAAGATCTCAAAGATAAAGCAGAACAGTTTAATCTTATGAGAACACCAAGCCTTATCATTGATGTTTCTTCTTAAACCCATGGATTGTACGCAATATGCTGCCTTCCTAAGTTTATTGTTTAGAAGCCTGACCATTTTCCAAGTCTCCCTTGCTTCGACAAATATACCAAATGAGTACAAAATCCATGCAAACAAATAGTAGCGCAAGTGTCATAAAAATTCATTCAAAATTTATTACTCCCGTGGTAGAAAAAAAGACGGATAGGTGGTAAAACCAATGTTCAGAACAATGAAGAAGAATGGAGATAATACATATTTATATAAACAATACTCATCTTTTGGTGAAATTCGATCAGCCTGTCATCACAAAGCAAAAAATCGAAACGAAAGAGACAAATGAATAGATATTACAAACGGAATTCGGGCGACTATACAACTCTTAAAACAGTGAACTCGGGCATTTTTTGTGATCTTTTGTTACTACGTAGCGTTATAGCTGTAGATTAAATGGATGAGCAGTTGTTCAAAACAATACAGCATAGAAAAAGAATTTCTTGGAACAATAAGTTAACTTCTGCAGGTATCATTGAAGGTGCAGGCACATAAGAAAAGCGAAACGACTTTCGCTTTGCTGCAGAGCCGGCATGGAAACAGGTATTACCGGAACATTCAGTATTAGTAAAAGCACGAAAGAAAAAACTCCGCACGCGCTTATTTTCAAGATGTAGCCACTGCTTGCGGAAGAAGCTCCGAGTGTTCACTCTTTGCCGATAATGTATCGCCGCTTTGACGTGCAGAGTCTACGACCGGGAAGAAGTAAGGGTGTGCCATGGCCTCACGCGCTGTCAACCGTTCCTGAGATCAGATTTTCAGATTCAAATTAAATAATATACCCTGGATATGACTCCGAGTTTGAAGCCCATTGAAACAGAAAAAAAGTGACCTGATGATCGTAACGGAGCAACTTATCAAGGAAATCAATTGCTTCCGGAGTAACCAGGTGCTGATTCTCAGCATGGATGAATCTACAAAAAAAAAGGAAATTAAAAAAAACACAAGGAAGGAAGGAAACAAGCGATAGATTACCTCTCCCAACGTTTCCGCGAATGTCGGCCCAAGATGTCGTTAAATCTGGGATCCAGTTCAATGCGATATTTTTCAACGTATTCATGCAACTCTTCTGTCCCCAGTACTTTTGCAATACGGACAAGCTTAACATATAATCGTCATATAAGCGAATTAACGTACAAGATTTACGGAAAAACTAACTGATACACAGATAAAGCAATCCCATGACTGTTCTGCAACATTTTCGCAACTGACCTGGTCATAATTATCATGGCCATGGAAGAAGGGTTCTTTGCGGAAGATCATACTTGCAAGCATACATCCTAGACTCCACATATCCAATGAGTAGTCATAGCACTGATAATCCACTAAAAGTTCGGGACCCTAAAAAAGGAAAAGTTTAGATTAGTACGATCCCATGGTTTGGTTTGGCCTTATTGTATATAGCTTTCAAATCGACTTTCATTAAACCTCCGTAAAAATGATCAACATCTTCTTCAATTACTAAGCAAATACAACGTTGATGAAAATATTTGCTCGGCTAACGTTTTGCTGTGTTCGTCTTCTTCACAACCGGATTGATTCGAGTCGATCAACACCAGTCTTTTATAAAAGGGTACCGTCGGGTAAAGTTGCTCGTTCGAGCGGTGCTTCTTAAACTAGATTCGGCTCGATACGACAACGTACAACCCCATATCGCCACAACGACCAGATGTAAACTATCGACTTGAAACAAACCGGCTCTGAGGAAGACGAAGACATCGAACGTTACCCGAACAAATCCTTTTTATCAACCCTATGTTTGCTTAATAATCGAAAAAAGTTTTATTACACATATTTTTTTAAATTGCAGTGCATAACGAATGCGACATGAACGCATGAGTACGGGAAACCAACGGTGCTCGGAGATCACTCGTCACAATGGAGTGCCGCATCACTTCCCAAACTTAAAACCTCCACTGTGCAGATCACTCTTTAACTAGTAAGGGAAAGTTCCATAAAAATTAGTACAACGAACTAATAAAGTGTGCTTCCGAGCTTTGTGTTGCAGCGTAGAGCATAGAATTATCCTACAGCCAGTCTGTCCGTGGTAAGAAGCTTGAAAATGCAACTCCGAAATGCAAAAAAGTAGACCAATAGCACACCTCGCAGCCTATCATCCTGGGCGAAAATCTGAGCTCTAAGCACCAAAACTCCCTCAAATATAACAACCTTCAGCAACTGCTTGAAGTGACAACCTAGGAACTGACCATGAAATGTCAGTAGGGTATAAGAGACCGCTCTGTCTCACTTTCATCGATTTAAAGAAGACCTTTGGCTCAGTGGTGATAGAAGCAATCATGGAAGCCCTGGACGGTCAGAGAGTCTCTACTCAGCATATAAAGACTCTTCGTGAGCTATATAAAAATTCCACAACTAAAATATCGCCATTCCATGACATTAACATCGACGTCAAAAAGGGTTTACGCTATGCTATACAATCTCGCAAAAACTATTTGCCACCACCTTGGCTGAAGGCATAACTTATAACACCACATTCGATTTGCTGATGATATCATCCTTATAACATCAAACATTAGCCAAGCGGAACGAATGCATGCCAACCTTGAGAACGTCTGTGGAAAGATCGGTCTTCGAATAAATCTAGCAAAAACGATGCTCATGAGGAACGCATTGGTTTCTTGTTCCATATTCACACTCAACGCAATAAATATTTTCGAATGCGCCAGTAACGTCTATCTAGATCTGGAAATCAACATCATGAACAACCTAGCTCCGGTGTTGAGCAGCAGGAAGCTGGCGAATCTTCAGGAGTATTGGCGATGTAGTGAAGAGAGCATAGAACAACCGACTCCGTGCTATCTTATCGACTCTACAATACTTCCTGCCTTAACGTACGTTCCAGGAAGCTGGTCGCTGGGTAAGCTAGATGAGAGATCACTCCGCGTTTTTGAACGCGCAGTGGAAAGGACGATACTAGAAGTATGCCGTGTCACTCAAGTGAAGGGAGATTCAAAGCTCCGACCTATGTCAATGATAAGAAATCAAAGATGCCGTTCTATACGCAAAACTATTGAAGATAAGGTGGGTCGAACACGTAATTCGTATGAAGGACAACCGATTGACAAAACCCGTTGACTGGATTACTCGAGGTGTCAAACGTACTTCAGTAGGACCATCGCCTCGACGGTTAGAGTTCTTCACGAAAACAGGAAGGGAAACATGATGGTCAACGTGTACCTAGAGCGAGCGGAACACACTGCACTACTCTTGCATGCGATAGGGAAAAATGGGAGATTTACTAGCGCGCGCTCGAGTCACTCGACGATCAACGGAACGACAGATGATACAGGAGTTGATTCCCTACGTAAGGAACGATGCCCATTTCCTAATAATTCCCCATAATTATTCGTAATTACACGACTCAATAAGTCTATAACTTGACAAACTAGTAAAACAGACTCGGTTCTAGGAAGCTAAAGAAAACAACTTTGATAAGGTGTAATTTCCATTCAGAGTGGATTTAAAAACAAAGCTTCCACAAAAAAACCCAATTTCTACCGCGATTTAACAAGGAGATATGCATTTTTTTCGGTAAAATTTGTAAGCTCGGACAGTTTTTACGTTTCTTTAGCTTTCATTCCAAGTCATAAAGTCCATTATGAGCTGATATATGCTTGTTCAAAGAGTCAACTGCGTTCAAGTAAGCATGAATTGAAAGTAAAGATTGCTCAATAAGTGTAGAAATTGACTAAGTTCATAAATCGGTTTTCTCCACATTTTAGCCAATGAACGGTCGCTGATCTATGAACGCTGAGGAATATTCTAGAATATGGGAAGGGTATACAAGGCTCTACCTTGTGAGGTTACCATGACCTTATTTTTCTTCATTACTTTATTCCTTTTGTTTCCTTTTGCTCTTTCTCATTCATCTCTATATTGACACCATCGACTTTCCTACCTAAAGCAATTTTTTGGTTTGTGGTCTTGGACAATGTTTGATGGTGCGGAGAAACGGTGCACGGAACCGAAAGACGTTTACAGCTTTTTATAGCTGGTGTATTTGAGAACAAGTCGTAAAAAAGCTAAATAGTGGACAGGTGGTGGTGTAACAGAATCGGCGTGCCGTAATATGTGCTGGGAAGATAAGGACATTATTCTGTCCACAGTTCACGGCACGTCTCCTTCCAACTCATCAGAACCGGAGGTGATTGGAAACTACAACCAGAAGGAGCTTTCCGTGAACATCGTTGGCCAGATGACAGCCTACTGTCTATTTTTTAGCATCGGAACTACGTTCAACAAGTTAGCAACAGAATATAAGAAGTGCGGTAACAAAATAACGTCTGTAAACCACTGAACAGGCGGAAAAAGTGGATGTGCCATCCGGCATTGTGTTAAAATGTCTTAAGATTTGGGTATCTGCTTGGCAGAGATCTCTGGATAGTAACAGCTTTAATTTCGTTTCGATTAATAATGGTTCCTACGAACTGGCGAACACTAATTTACATTCGAAACTGGCTACTACTTTCGTACCGTTTCAAATGAAATCAGTGCACATAGTCCACTGTGCTAAATAATTCATTCTTGACCTATCTCATAATGACCAAATGGTAGCAGTTTGTCCACTTGTTCGCTGTCTGTTCGATTATCATAAAAAAACGTGGCAAGAATACTTGTTTTGCAATAAGTGGTGATGAAATGAATGTGAAAACGATGAAACCAATGCACATGTCACGAAATTTGCTAACTCTAAACCCGTTGATGAATAACTACTATGGGCACCGTTAGGTAGAAAACTAGCCAAGGAAAAGGTAAAACAATTATCTCAGTGGTGCAGTGTGTAACACGGGAGCCCCCGGAAAGGATAATCGTGAATGATCTGACTTGGGATCCGAGTTTTGCAAATACCTCAGCACATAGTGGTTGTATCACACGTAATATCTTGCCATGAAAAATTATAATAGGCAGTAAATAAAAAGTCAACATCGCTTCTGTTAACTCTGTTACGAAATTCTTATACACCTTTGGTGAAATATGCGCGAATAATCAATGTTTTCATAGATGACTAGACTAGCAAGGAGTTGTTATGAAAGTTATATTCTACTATGCCAGAACGAATGTCGATAGTGAACTCCGATCAACGCAGCCCTGAAAAAGGCAAAAGTGCCGAAACGCTAACTGAGTAAATCTTTTACAACAACCTCATGTTAGGTTAATCACCTAAGAAAATACCGATTGCTCGTCCTGAGGTTAAGGGAAAGGCAATTTTTAAAATACGCACAAATACCTATATTGATTGAATCGAGCGAATTATGAGTCCGCCCACCTCACTACAGATCCCCGGTATGTCGACTGGTGAGAAAAACGTATAACTCCACATTTGTGAGGCTCTGTTTCTCCATTTTTTCAGCAGAAAGGTAACCATGGGTAGCTTGAAGGATTATCTTATGAAAAGGGTTTATCCCATGAGTTTGGACATGAGAATGTCAGACTTCCTTCTCAGCTTCCGGTGTAACTCTTTTGAACCCTGTAGCTCTGTAACCCGAAAAATCCAACTCGTCAATAAAACAGTAAACCAACCAATAACTAGAGAAGGAACGAAATGAAAAGCGAAGCGAATCAGCCCACCTTAAAGTAGCGAGATGCGACTCGAACATTGTAGTCTTGCTTTGGATGGTAAAATTCAGCCAATCCCCAATCGATCAAGCGTAACTGCAACATAAAAGAAAGTTGACGTAAAAGCAAGTGATGGATAGTAAAAGTCTTTGTAAAGGCATAATATGACCAAAATTTAGATTAAAATACATATGGACATGTGCGTAAACACCAAATCCTCCACTACACCTGCTTTTTCTCATGGTCGATCATGACGTTATGCGGCTTCACATCTCTATGCATTATTCCTTGAGAGTGACAGTAATCCAGTGCCTGAAGATCGTGAATAAAGGACCAAATCTAATGAAATCTATAACAATTCCGAGTGCTATGGTCGAAATATCACTCTGTATCATTTCATGAAGAGTACGTGCGGCACAGTGGTCGGAGGTGCTCTGCGACACACAATTAGAATCGAACTCCATGCCCGTGGCTCAACAAGCCTTCCATCCCTCCCTGGTCAGCAAATTGGTACCAGTCTGGGAGGATAGTAGAACTGGTTCGATACATCGGTAGACCGTCGCGAGCCATTGTAAGGGCCAGATATGCATTCAGTCACCTCCAAACGTTGCTTAGTGAAGCCGAACCTCTCGCATCCCCTAGGATTGATCAACGCCGACAACTTTATCCATTAGCTCTATCACTTCACGATTAGATACCTTTTATAAAACACTCTTGCATGTGCACCAAGACTGATCATTGTAAAACTTAAGAAACTCAACAACACAAACACCAATATGATAGAAGGGATACCTTGAGCAGTTCATACAGATAGTAACGAATATCTAAATCACTTAGAGTTCCGTACAACTGCTTGAAGTCCGAATTGTTGACGTATCTGGAAAGATTTTAAAAAAGCAATAGATTTCCTCACAAAGAATTCTTGCACTACCCTACTAGCAAGCCCACTTCTTTCAGAGTAACCCGATCAACTCTTCACTTTCCAATAACTCACTCGAAAATCAGTGCTGGGGTACGTGAAATCGGATCTTTCACCACATCCAGGAGCGTGATCACGTTCGTCCCACCACGCAAATTCTCGAGAATTTTGATTTCACGCTTGATTTTCTTCTTTTTTACAGGCTGTAACCAAGAAATTAGACCTGTTAATAATCAAAAAATAGCAATAGTGTTTAAACACCAAATTGATCAAGCCATTTTAAGTCCGTATGCGAAGAAACTCGTATAGAGGTTCTATCGAGAAAATCTCAAAACAAAAAGGTTCTGCACTCAATGATCTGGTTAAAACAGTAAGAGATAGGAAAGCCAGTCCACTATGAACATTATTAATCCATCGCCCAAATCCACCAATTCATGCGGTCCCTCCCTCCCTTTCGGTGGTGATCCGGGTCATCTAGGTTGAGTAGCGGCCTGATATTTCTATGCAGTAATCCACCATGGTAAGTCCAAGCCTAAGTCTAAGTTGAATAGCGACCTAACAGAAAGGAAAGGCAACCAGTGAACGAAGACTTCAAACGTAAGCATAAAAACTATACAAAGTTAGCGCTGGAATCCATACGATTCCTGCTGTAGTACGCTAGTACTGAAATAAAATGATTGCTATGACGAACCTTTAATATTTTTATAACCACCTTCTCGTCCGTTGTGATTTTCACTCCCTCAAATACCTGTAATTTAACTTTTTATTTATTGCCTACTATTTCTTTCACAGCACGATATTAGGACAGATAGAACCACTATGAGTACAAATCCAAAACTTGGACTCCAAGCCAGATTCGAGCTTGCAATCCCTCAGCAGTGCAATGGATAACACGTGAGCTCCCAAAAAGGGTAACTGCTTGTTCGAATCTAAGCCGTCGCTTATTCAGTTACGAGGAACCTTTTCAATTGAAAACAAGAGAACGTATTCGAACAAAATTACCTCGGAGTACTTTCCACGTCCAAGCTTACGTACGAGTTGATAGTCGTCGATATTTCCCCATTCGATAACATGTGCTTCGTAGTCCCAATACTCACGTGGCCTCAACGGGTTGACCTAGAATAAAGTGACCAGAAACCATGCAGATAAGAGCGAAAACAGTTCTACAACACGAAATTGCTGAATTAAGTACTGCAGATTTGAAAAAAGGCTTTCTTTCGCTTTTCATCGATGGGTCTTATTCCAAGTAATCCCCTGCAAGAACTGAGGATTGGCTCTGGTTTACAGCCCGAACGCGACGCCGCCAAATCAATGTCAACCGCACGTTGGGTAGTACTGAGATAAGTATCCACTACCATGAAAACAAACTTTTAGGACGACATTAGGGGAACGAAACTCACATCTGCATACACCCTAGATTTGCTGGCTACAGGAGCCATTCTGGTACAATTGCCGCAAAGCCCAGAAACTGAAAACGGTGTGTCATAAGGACAAAACGAAACCGTAGACGAACAACGCAAACGGCAATGAACGGAATACTGCAACTGCTATAGAGAAGCCGACATGAGTATGTATGAGGAACACAACGATGACAAATTGAAAGCGAATCAATAGCTGACGGATCCCACGCACACCCTTTGCGCTTCCAAAACCCTGGAGGAAATCACGGAAGGCTACCAGACAATGTCGGGAGAGCCAGCACTTCCAGTACTGCTCGGAAGACTGGTCATCTACCAAAATACAGCCTCGTCCCTTTTCCGAGCACTTCAGGAACGTAGGAGCTTCTGCGGTCGATACGGTCGGTTCTGCAAGACTTCGCGCTGCCGTGTGAACGAGGGCCCTTTAAATTCACGTCATCGTTTCCCTCACTGGTGTCCTTTTGTCTCCACATCCTCATTTATTACTCCGAAGCTGTTTCTTCTGGATTTATTCACTATATTTAGAGAATATGTTATGGACCACTGCGATTTCGTCCCAGCTGAGACCACTGATGGGAAAAGCACTGCAGTCCAGTCGCGTAAGGAGCATTTCTCCCGTTCACTGAATGGAACCTTCGATTGTCGTAGGAAGACATTTGTGTACAGTTTAGAGCACCTGGGTACTCAGACGAGTATTCGCGCCTGAACCTACACCTCCCGGTAAAACGCAACGAAATCCGGAAGAATTGCCGAATTTAATGAAGCTCGAGGTGGTTGAATTCGAAACTCTTAAGCCTGCCGGGCCACTCAAGGTCATACTTTTAGAAGACGTCGAAGGTTAGTCTACTTTTTTACACGAAATTTAACTCTGGAGAATACAAATTGGCGCTGGTTTTCCTTTTAAGGAGTAGGACACCAGTTTGACGTTGTTGACGTGGACAGGAGGTTGGCACGGTCAGACCTTCTTTTGACAAGAAAAGCTGTCTATGCTTCACCCTTCGATCTGGAATATTACGGCCAGATTAAAAAGGTAGCCGTTAAGCCATTTTTGAGCCGAATTTTTGCTCTTCTTACTTTTTTGACTTTCTGTAGGAGATGGCAGATGAACTTGCGAAGAAAGTACGGATTCCTTATGAGTACATTTGTATTGGCCGAGACCTTCAGGCTATTGTCGTTCCAATAAGAGTCAGTATAGAGAACAAATGGACCATTGACAGGCAAATTCTGAAGACTTCTCTGAGACTAATCGTGGGTTTAACTGCGTTCTATACAATGATGAAAGTGGCTGATGTATTTTTTAGGGTATCGATATGACAGACGATGCTATATTCTTTGATGATGCTATTAGTGGTCCTAATTTCGAAATCGAGGCTAAATTAGTCCGGTTTTATGTCGTGGTATGTTCTTTTTTTTTCACGTTTCTACTTGTTTTCTAATATTCGTACATTTCCTGCAGAGTTTGGCTGTGTGTCCCCACCAAATATTACTCATCAAATGTTCCTCTGGGGAAGTTAAGGCCACCAATTGTTCCTATTATGCCGCCGTGTGCATCCTCACAGAGACATGCAGTTAACATAACACATTTCCCATTGGACCTTTTATTTTTACGGCTTCTTCATGGTTGACATAGTTATATCTTCCTGTGTTCTGCATTGCCATGAGGGAAAATACTAAAAGGTGGATTGTTGTGATTTCGTGAACTAGACACAGGCCCCATTTGTTTAGTACGACCTCATATCCATACTTTTCCTTTCGCTCTGCACTTGAGTGGAGGCGCTAAGCTAAATCGACCGGGGGATATGATTCATGTACCCAAAATGTGCCCGTGAAATTCGTGTGAAGATGGTAACACCTGTCACGGTAAATATGTGGTCGCTTTTGTCCCGCATTTATTCCCTCGTTCACCGTCTTACGACGAACCACGTAGCCTCTGCACCGGCCAGTTCAAGTTCCCTCATGAGTATTTTGCGGCCAAAGTCTATAACCGTTAATTGATCTTTCTCGAACCAAACACAACCTTAAATCTGTTCAGGTTTGAAAAGTCGTTTTAGGTTTCGAAACAATACATAGTTCCAATGTTGGGGAGGATCTCACACATCTCAGTTGACGAGTCGAAGCAGGTATTGTCTAAGCTTCTAAAACAGCTCATATCCAGTGTGTTGAGTTTTGTCGTTTATTAAGTTTACTGGAAATTAATGAAAGTCTTCATTTTCACATATCTCAGATTAAAATAACCTTTACTAACTGAATAGGATAGACCAATAGAATCTATTTTTCTGTGCCAAGAAGATGTGAGTTCGTGTGCTCCACGACGGTGTTTGGTCTACTAGAGCCTACGAACTTCATAAAAAGATTTTCAGCACTAGTTTGCCTGTGGACAGCTTCCTATTGAAAATATTTATGGAGTGAGCTCCTCAAATGCTTGATGAAGGACTGTCTTGTTCTTTAGCTATTCCAAGTTTTTCAATGTTTGTTTCCCGTCGTGTAGTCTAGTGTTTGTCTAGAAACACAATGGATCTCCTTCGATTGATCAGTTCCCGTCTCAGATGAAGCATTTTCGGTTCATTTGCACGTTGACGGCTCTTCTCGGCCATAGTTTTATGGCGTTTCTGTTTGTTTGGCAGGACAAGTCTTTATAAATTCATCTTGGTTCATATTTGTCTTCGAGGAGCTTCGCAGTGTTTCATCTTTCGCCAATCATTGTCCAAAACTTTATCGACAGTGAAGGAGAATCCACATTGCGTTATCGATGATAATGCTATTAAGAAGTGGGTTGTTTTAGTCACGTAGAAGAACCACAGAAGATCATAGATCATCATCACGAAGATTTCATAGTTTATCTTTTAATTCATGCGACGGCCATTTTATAGAGTTTCTATCAAGTGTTGGTTGTCATAGAAAGCAAGATATGGCGACCATTCTCATTCTTAACGCAGTCATTTATATGGCATGAGCTTTTAAAACCAACTTTCCACCATGCACTCGTTAACAGTTACGTGGTCAAATGCAACTTCGGTGCTAACTGAGCGACACTGACTTTTAGGTGGCTATCGCGTGGAACACCGCGTAGTTTTGCTTTCGTGCGGTTTGTATTGAACAAAACTCACGTAGACCACTGTATCCACTTTTTGCCGTATCTTAAACAATAAATAAAAGCTCTCGGCGTTGACCCTGTGGGATCGCTATCCATTCAACTTCATTAGGTATCGTTGAAGGTGATTGAATGCATACCTGGCCTTTACAATGACTCGCAGTGGCCTACCGATGTATCGAACGAGTGTTCGTATTCTCCCAGATAAGTCTAGCACCAATTTGCCGACCCCGGCGAGATGAAGGGCTTGGTGAGCTTTGGACGCGGAGATCGATCCGATGCGTATTACAGACGCCTGCGACCACTGCGCTACTTGCCTCTTTTGCCATGCCTTACGGCTTATAATTTTGTCTTTCTGTGTACGTATTTTGTTGGCAACTTTTATATATTCTTCCATGTTTATTTGACAGCTCCTTTTCTTGTATATGATGAGAGGAATTCATCTAACGCTTAATCGCGGTGTTCTCGGAATTTAAAGGCCGTTTTCGTAACAAATATTCAATATATTTCAAACTTGCATGTCTTTACAATCTCTATATGCTTATTTGTCAGTATCAAATTTTTTAGAACCTGTGATGGTTCCAGAAATACGCAATGGGGGGATATTTCTGGAAACATAGTCCGTATAAATGCGTTTGAAAATCTTAACAAGTTGCCCATCAGCAAAAGCTTCTGTGGTAGTAGATTTTATAGTTCCATGCTCCCTTACAACAGTTTCCTGCATAATACGGGGCGAGCAAACGTACCAAAAGTAGATTATGAACTGTAGAAAACAGCTATTCTCGATTGACGCCTGCCACATCTTTGTTGAGCAACCCATCAGTTGAATACAGGAAGTATGGCAGAGAGGTTGAGCAGAGTGAAAGAAACAACCGGAAACAGTAACATGTGACCTCATTTTGTTCCTACCAATATGTCCTGTCTCCATGGTAAGTTGGAATCAACTCACATATGGAGTTGACGTAGCAAGTCGATTTTGCGGCTTCACATCCAATTCGGATTCGTGCACATTTGGAAATACAATGGACAATATCTGTTGACTTAAACCACTTTGCGTTTGCTCTTCAGCACTTCCTTATTCCGCTGGTGATTTAGGAAAAGACATATTCTACTAATAGTTTACTGTCACCTTTGGACCTGTCTGTTCGCCACACCACTTAAAGTATTCAGAACTATGTGAGGAGCTCTCTTTTGGAGAAAGTAGCAGATGGGAGGACGCTATGACTATGTTGCTGCTCCATAGGTACAAGTGCAGGTACATGAGTCCAGCTGCGATTGATTTCCCCTTGTCCCGGCGTAGCTGCCACGATAACTGCTTCTGATAAGGAGGGTACTTTAAGAGGGAGATGGGACAAAACGGAGAATGTGCTTTGAATTCGGTGCAGTTCACAACTCGAGATGCAAATATCTTCACATTCAAGTTAGGGTTTGTGTGAAAAATGCCTCAAACTTCAAATTTGTTCCCTTCCTTCCTTTTTTATCTTTTTTTTTAAAAAATTTTCATCCTAGTGGTTTAGAAAAAACTCGGATAAACATAGAAATCTGCCTTTTAAGAGCATGCAGTCTGTTCAAGGAGTAGGAGAGATTTTTTGAAAGTAAAGCGTCAGAGTTTTAAGTTACAGAACTGGTTTACAAGGAACACAAAATCACTAATGTTTTAAGCACATTAGGTAACCTTTACTTTTCTGAATTCTTATGCGAACAAATTTAACTATGCATGTCTAAGTGTATTCATTCAGATGTTATCTCCAGAAGCAAATCGTCCAGTTACGAAAGACCAGCTTACGCGACACAAAATTAAGCCGGAAGAGCCATATTATAGTCCAGAACCGGGAATTGACGGGACTTTCCCCGTCGTTGATTTTATGAGAAGCAAAGCGCGATCTCCTTGAATGTGATAAATTTTCGAATTGGATAGATTGTGCCATCTTACAAGTTCTCATGGAGTAAAGTAATGCTATTGCCATGTGTGTATTCTTCTTCCATTCACAGTTTGTTCTTCAACAAGTGTTCCGATTTTTTGATTTACTCGCTTTGTTTGGTAAACGGTACAACTACTTACCCTAACGTATTGATTTAACAGTCCTTGTTATGCCGTCATGTTTTTCTTTAACCTAATTTGTAGCAAGTCTATCTAAGGTCGATAGGTGGATATATTTACTCTTCTCGCTATGGTCCAAGAAAGTACAATGATATGGTGAGTGTATACCGAGATATGTGTGGTATTTCGTCGTTATTTGAAATAGTGGTGAGTGATTTTTTTTACCAAAATTGGTTTCAGTGTGGATAACTCCGAGTGGATGCGCAACGGTGACTTCGTTCCAACCCGACTGCAGTGCCAGCAAGATGCAGCAAATCTGATTCTTCAGTGCAAACTCCGGGCAAATCCCGAGAATGCAGTTGGACTACTTTCAATGGCGAAGTCAGTTTGAAACGCTCCGAGAGGAAATCAGACTTTTACTATGTCATATGTTAATTCTCGTCAAAATGTACAACTCTGGAACATGCCAGTGTTACTCTGTTTTTTAGCCAAGTACAGGTTCTGTCCACAATGACTCAAGAGAGCGGCCGCTTGTTTATGAAACTACATCAGCTGGAGCCTCAGGTAGGCTTGTTACAAACTACAATCAATTTGTTATTATAAAGTAGAACTGACTAGCGAATAATCTTTAGGGTCACTGTAACTTTATGTCGGCCATCAAGATTGCTCATCTGGCTCTTAAACACCGTCAAAATCGTAATCATAAGATGCGCATCGTCATTTTTATTGGGAGTCCAATTGACGATTTGGACTCTGCAGAGGTATTCTTAGCTTATTGTGCTTGTCAGATACGCTTCACAGTATTTTAAAGGTGAAGCAGTTATAGCTAACAAAGATTGCAAAGAAGCTGAAGAAGGAGAAAGTGCAGTGTGACGTCATCTGCTTTGGTGAAGCCGATTCGGAGAACAGTCAAATCATGGGGCAGTTCATCGATACTCTTAATGGCAAGTAAGTGTGCCTTCAAAGATGCGCCATAATTTTAACACGGTTGCCATGAGATCACTGCCTTCTGTTGCTACGTTCTTAAGAACGGAATGTTAAATTTGGGGATCGTGACGCAAAATACCTTTCGTTTGTTTTTAAGTGAAGTAAACTTTAGTCAAATTGAGAGCCATTAGGGAAAGATGCACTTTTACCAACGCTATAAACCATTTGCCTCCCAATGATTTACCGCCTCATCATGGCTGGGAGGTGTTCCTAGGTGTCGGACTGCGATATACAGCGGGGAGATTCGTCTCTACGGCAAGGTCTCCCAAGCTGGGAAGGAGTGCGGCGTTTCCATCAGGAAGCCTAGCTAAGAGTAAACCAATACCACGATCCACCATTGTTCTGGTATCAAAGTCGCATGGTGGCAGATCTCCTGATTCGCAAGGGCTGCGACTGCCTGTAGTGGTGACGATCTGGGGCAGACTTTGGCCAGACTGTCCTTGGGATTCCAGGGAACCACAATGGTGTAACCAGCAAATCTCCGAGAAGTGGTGATTATGCTGAGACCCGCACAACTAGTGAGGGCGGACCGTCCGAGTATCGAGTATCAAGTATAAACCATTCGATGTGCATAGGTCTGGATTTGTGGATCTTCCGTGTCGGACGCTTTGTTCACTGTCTTATGATTTCTTAGGAAGTTATGCAGAAGCTTGAATGAGTAGCATTTGTTGATGATAGGTTTGACGATTAAGAGGCATGGACCTACAAGTTTTAGTTCTTTCAGTTTCCGGACTTTGCTTGTAAAATATACTTGTTAACGTTATAATGCAGCGGAAATATTTAATTACTTTCTTGTGAATTCTATCAATTTACTGACATCTATCGTGATTTCACTAGGAGTGAAGATTTTTTAGAGGTGGGTGGTTCCTCTTCCCGCCTCGGAAATCGGACATTCTTTCTTGGGTGAAAATTAAACTTTGGGAGAGGTTTCTGTTTTATATTGGTCTAACTGTTGGATGGAATCTCGACAGTCGAACGTCGTCATCGTATACAATTCTTTTTCGTTATATTTCAGAACACTTTCAAGGAACAGGGGTTTTTTACACAAACGACACCATAAATGTTTTACGACGACGTTCTCTCACTGAGCGAGTTTTTTCTTTTGAGGTCTTAGCTTTACCGACAAGCTCATGAGCCGTTGTATGTGGATCTGCTTCCGTTAACTTCTTCTTATGGTCGTCAGCGATAGTAGTAAGGTGTATCTCCTCATCTCCATCTTCAACATATCTAAATTTATCGCGGGAAATTTCAAACCATCATTGCTCAGAACATTCTTTAACAGTTAGTTTTCGTGCAAAATGCAACGTTAATATTGCAGGACAGTTTCCACTTATGGATCAATGCGATAGATCTCTCGATTTTCCTAGTTTTCTATTTTTATTCCAGTGGCGTATGCTCGGCAAAATTTACGCGAGAACGTCTAGTTTTCCACATACTGAGATCAAGTCTTGCTGACAGCACTTCCTCTTTCTTATAGAAAAGGCGCCCCCTCTTGTATTTTCGCTCTATATTCCACATTTTCTGTTTTTTACATTCTATGAGTCTCCTTTCTTCTTACATGTATCCTGCCGTGTTTGTATAACTTATCTCTTGTATCTGATGAGGAATGTTCATTCGTTATCCAATAACGATGCTGTCAAACTTTAATGGTCGGTTCTAAAACATGTGTTGAATATGATTTGGCACTTTATACACTTTTTATCCATTCATATTCGAGGGCGATGAAGTTGAGGACCTGTAGTGTTTCCATAAATGCACAATGTGGAAGCACATTGATGAGCATGCACTACATGTATATGCGTTTGAATAACTCGCTCCCTTGATAATCAGTAACAGCTTATGTGGTTGAAAATACCACACTATCATCTTTGTTGACAGTAATCTCTCGCATAGCGAGGGACGACGAACCGTCTACAGGAAAGTCTTTTGTAAATTATAAAATGTGGAAGGAGCACGGGTAACGATGCCGTTCTACATGCGCAAAACTCTAGTTCGACATCACCCTGCGCTAACGATGTCTCCCATCCCTGCGAGATTATGAAATTGATATCACAATTGTCTAGGATCAACTTGCTCGTTCATATCCACAAAAGATGGCGAGTTATGAAAATCTTGGAGTGCCCCAGTACGACCATGCACTGATTCGAGGGACAGGATTAGCAATCGACGATATTCATAAAGAAGACCAAGAACCCTTAAAGTGCAACCGAACACAAGCAAATCTGAACATTTTCGTGGATGATTAATGCGAGCAAACTAATCAAATGCTGAAATCCGCACAATGTGTAAAGTCGAATCATTGTAAAAAAAAAAAGTATTGTAGATGATAGCTTTTCTTCACCGACGCTTGCTAGCACACCTACGGTGAATAAGGTATAAACTGGCTACAGAAAATGTGGCAATAATTTCTGTATGACAAAGAGAAAGGAGAAAATACGAGTTGAGATCATTTTGAAAGAATCATTTTGGCTACACGTATAGCTCGAAATCAGTTACCTCGTTGCGAATGTATTGATGTGAACGCTAGGAATAGAAGACAACATAAAAATTTTAAGTGGAACCTGCGGTTTAAAATCTAGAAGTGTGTTGACAAAAAAGAAACGTCTGAAAAGTCTGCGATGTATTTTTTGCGGAATATACTAGTAGTTAATATTTTACGTTCCATATAGGGAAGGAAATGGTTCAAATCTGCTCGTTGTCCCTGCTGGATCAGCTCTCACCGAGGCGTTAATCTCATCCGCTGTTTGTCGTGGAGAAGACGGAGGAAATGCACCAGTAGTGGGGACTGGTGGTGGCTTCGAATTCGGAGTTGATCCAGAAGACGATCCCGATCTTGCTTTAGTTAGTGAACTTAGCAAATCATTATTATTTATAATAATTAATTAAAAAATACTTCTAAATACCTACTAGTACTTCTTTTTAAAATGTCGATATCCAGGCACTTCGCGTTTCTATGGAGGAGGAACGTGCGCGACAAGCTGCTGAAGCCGCTGCTGCTGCTGCGAATGCAAGTTCCGAGGTTCCAACCTCTGCCGGAGCAGACATTGCCCAGGTGTATTTGCAAAAGAACATTAGTGTTCGAGAAATTTGATCTGACGATAAATAATTGTACAAGATATCGGAGAGTAAGTGTGCGATCCGAACTTTAAGGACTGATTCAGACTGAGTAGTGATTGTAATAGGTACGCTTAAGAGCAGATTTTCAGAATATCGACGTAATGGATATGGAGATGGGTGAAATGACCGAGGAACAGCAGCTCGAGTGGGCTCTTCGAATGTCAATGCAGGACTCTGTGCCATGTACAATGGTTTAAATTGTTTCTAGTGTAGTATTAGTAGGTTGTGAATCGAGCATCTTTCTATGTACTGCATATTTAGCACCACAAGCAACTCAACCACCACAAGGTCAGCCTGTCGAAGAGACGATGGATGTTACCACTGCGCAAATGGTTAGTGTCTTGCGTTAGTGTTGTATACATTAGTGTATTCCTTGGAAGTATTTGGGAACAAAATTTAGGACAACATTGATGAACTAATCAACAACCCAGAGCTACTACAACAAATCATTGATGATCTTCCTGGTGGCGAGAAGGTTTTCCCATTCGTTTACTTCTTTTCGCCCTAACATGATCAATAATTCGATATACTTTCTTCAGAAAGAAGAAGAAAAACCAAAGAGTGAAAGGAAGTAACTGGGAAGAAGAAAAGACGAAAAAGAACCTATATTCTGTATGCAGTACATGTGTATGCAGTATTATTCGAACTGACTCGATAAATCTTGAGGTTCTACGTTTTATTATGATAAGCTTTGACATCTTACGGTCTATTCCTATACAGTAAATATATGGACGCGTGTGGCGCATACAGATACAGGCGCCCTGCAATACATACAGGATCGATTTCCTCGCTCTGGCCTACCAAGCTTTCCATCCCAACGAGGTCGGCAAATTGGTACCAGACTTGTTTTGGAGGATAGCAGCACTGGCTCGATACAGGGGTAGGCCACTGCGAGTCATTGTAGAGAACAAGGAATTTGCATTCAATCACCTCTAAACGATACTTCATGAAGTTGAATGCATGGCGCACCCTTAAGGAACTGATCAACGCCGAGAGTTTTATCCTTTTTGTGGCATTTGTCAAATGGTCACGGGCTTTACTGAATCACTGTTGGCGATTCCTAGTTTCATATCGTTACAAATTTGCTGCTTTTCAACAATACAGGGTAGTTTTTTCATGACTATGGGACTTAAACGGTTGAGAACAAGCTAGTCTATATACTATATTTCACGAGGGTACATCACACATACAACCACATTAAGTTGAATGCTAGTATTGGGAATGTTAGCAGCTTTTATTGATTCTCCTTCAACATTTCTTATACCTCCCCATTTTCTATGTTGGTCACAATTCATTGTAGAGATTAGAAGTGAAGTAAGATTCAGTTGTTAAATTGACGGTCCATAAACGTCTTGGAAAAGGTCCTACATTTGTTTCCAATTACAAGATGCAGCTATTCTCCAGTGATAGCGAAAAAATGTGTGTTGGACATGCTATTAAAAGATTACTAAGTCTGCAGCAAGAGAGCTCTACGCGACGAAATAGATGACCGAGAACGCGATGAGTCGCACAACTCGCTTTAGCTACCTCGTCTAGTAATGTACTAGTCATGTATGTCTCGCCTCATCGCGTAGGTAGTACCGCTATCGACAACATCGATGAGGAATACAGCTAGCTTATTCAACATCACGTAGTCGTTATGAAAGTCGAGAGTTCAAAAGTTGCAAACAGACCTCTGTCTCCAAGAGCACTCGAGCTAACACACCGACGTGGAATCGCCCGACTCGTAGGCAATCGTCGACACAAGTCCTAAGTTGCAAGGCTATCCAAATTATGATATAAGATTAAGGATTTCACGTATTCACAATGATCAGTGAAACCTCTCCAATTACACGACAAACAGAATCGCAGTACGACGTGTTTGATTGCGTATTTGGTTCATATAATAACTTGCGGTGGCTTTCCGATGTATCAAGTCAGTATGCTATCCTAGCAGGCAAGCCCGGTAACAATTTTGTGACTCCAGAAAGACGGACCATTTCACCTACCCTTCAAACGGGATCGAGCCAAGTACCATGTGTGCATTGCGTGACATCTTTAACCATTGCATTATACGCGTCTCGTATATAGGTTACCTGTTAGAATGCAGGGCTCCTATTCAGTACAAGACTAGAAAGACCGTTTCATCGTACAATAAGAAAGCTTCCACGACATCGCCACCTATCACCCTACTTTTGCTATCTGCTGTGTATAAAACTTTCACTCGTGTCATCCTCAAAAGAATTTCTAGAACACTGAACGAACGACGACCATGTCAGTAAGCAGGATTTCGAAAAGAATTCAGTACTGTGGGTCACATCCACACAACAACAAGATTCATTGAAGTATCGCGAGATTACGAGAGACCGCCCGTCTCACTTTACCCGATTTAAGGAAAGTTTCCAACTCGGTTGAGGTAGAAGCAGCCATGGAAGTGAGCTATGTAAAAACTTCACAACCAAAATATCACCATTTTACAACGATACTAACATCAACGTCGAAACAAGCGAAGCGACACCATCTCGCCAAACTTATTTACTGCTCAACTCAAGAATGTCGTGTAAACACTGGAAGCAATGGGACAGCACGGAAGTGGAAGTCATTTGCTGGCAACTACAACACCTTCGCTTTCTGGTCATATCGTTCTTGTAACACCAAACGGTAACCAGACGAAACTAATGTTAGCTTACAACCACAACGTTGCTGAGATATTTGCAAAACTCTGGACAACAGGTGTCTATGGTGGAGAACGAACGCGCTATTGTCCTTTCCGGGGAGTAACGCGTTCACCACCGCACCATGCGGGTCCTACGCGTTACACCCCGGAAAGGACAATAGTGCGTTCGTTCTCCACCATAGACACCTGCCGTCCAGAGTTTTGCAAATATCTCAGCAACGTTGTGGTTGTATTTCGCTTAGTGGCAGTACCGCGAAATTATAGTAGGCAGCAAGTAAAAAGGTATAACATAATAATCTTAGCTTGCTTCGACGCCGCTTGTCGATTGATTGGTCTTCTACTAAACCTCACGAAAACAATGTTCGTAAGAGACGGATCTGTTTTTAATGCCTCATTCACAACGAATATCTAGGAATGCTCCAACTAAGTACACCTGAGTCGAGAGCTCAACATGATGAACGATTTATCACCGAAGCTGAGCAGGAGGAAGCAAGCAAGAAGGAACATCGAGGAGGAAGAAAACGGACATAAACATGCGCTTCTGTACTCAACTATTCGACTCTCCACTTACTCCTGCCTTAACGTACGTGTGAAGTCACTACTTGAGTAGGAAGAATAGTCACTCACCTTTATAAAATGATGCAGTTGAAAGGACGATGCTGAGAGCATCCCCGTATCTTGCAACTGAGAGGGGTTAAAAGTACGAAGTACGTCAACGACCAAAATCAAACACGCCGTTCTGTATGCTAAGTTGTCGAAAGTGGACCGGACACGTAATGTGTATGAACGACAACTGATGGACAAGTCGTTCGTGACTAGATTCCTCGCGATGTCAAACGCACAACAGGAACACCACCGACCCGATGGTCAGAGGTTTTCAAGAAAACCGCAGAAGGAAGATTTAGTACGCCACTAGTTTCTGGAGCAAGCAGAACGGACTGGGCTACTCTTACATGCAACAGGCAAAAATGGAAGATTTATAGCGCTTGCTCGAGTCACCCAACCATCTGGTATGACAGATGATACAGGTGGTCGAAAAATAGCATATTTCGACACAATTTCATTACTAAGATAACAAGGTTGTTTGAGAAGGGCAGTTTGTCGATATAACGCAATCTATGTCAAATTAAGAAAATTTTAAACCAGGATCTGATGCTCAGAATCCTCACAGTTCTTCATTAAGGTTATTTATTATTCTCCAGCGAACCGGATAATTCTAGCATACCACGTCTCAAGTGGAAAAATACTCTGGTTCGTTTTTTACGTAATATTAAAGGTCCTCCTACGATTGCCGCCTCATAGTGGCTGGGAGGTGTTCCTGCGTGTCGGGCGGCGATGTACAGCGGGGGTATTGATCCCTACAGCAAACCCTCCTATGATTAGGAGTTCGGCGTTTCCATCACGAAGCCCAGCTAAGAGTAAACCAATACCAGGATCCACCACCGTCCTGGTATCAAACTAGTCACATGGTGGCAGATCTCCTTCTGTTCCACAAAGGTGGCGACTGCCTGTGGTGGTACAACCTGGGACAGACTTTGGCTTGGCCGACCTCGCGGCTCCAGGAAAGAATAATGACTAAATCAGCAAATCTCCGAAAAATGAAGAATATGCTGATGCCCGCACAACCAGGAGTGTCGGGCAGCCTAAGGATCCAAATATGACGCTAAACCTTCTGTAATACGTGATGATCAGGTGAAAAGTAGAAACGGTTACTGCAACAAATATTTTTGTTCAAATTGTTTTACGAATCAGCAGTGTTATTTTGTAAAAGTTCTAACTGCAGGCTTCAAGGTACAAATGTGGATTTCTTGAGCACAGTGTTGAGAGATTCACTGGAAGGTTGTTAGAGTAAGGTCTGAGAATGTGTAATTTTCCAAAATGCATTCTAAACCTTCCTGAAAACGAGTTTTGTACAGTGAAAGCCTTTTCACATATTTATAACATATATGTTAAAGTTTTTCCACTGATTTGTCAGTCGTGGCGACAAAGTGTTTCCGAGTACCAGAATTCGGTGTGCAAGACACGGCTGACATGTTCCTACCCGTCTCAGGGTTGAAAACAGACGAATAAATTTTTCCAAAGAAAAGAACAGTTCTTCTGCAAATTACTTCGTGTGTAATTCAGCTTTGCTCAATCTATAACAACTATAATGTCTGCATCGGACAAGCAATTGAATGATTGGTCCAGCGAAAAAAACGCCGTCCGGGAAAAATAAAACACCGACAAGAAATGAGTCATATATAGTTCATCTCGGACCAGCAGGTTAAGATAGAAAAATTTCAGACCCTTACTGATTGTGGAAAAAAAGATATTGAAAAGAGTCATTCAAACTTTGGCTCACCCTTTTCTAGATGTCTTCACCTTCACGGCGCCTTAAACTCAAATTCCAATGTTGCCACCTCATATTTGTCCAATTGCCGGTCTTTGGGAATGCTATGAAGGATATCTAACAGTAGATTGTCTCCAAGATGTAAGATCTATCACGAGCTTCAACTTTTGGTGACATAAGGCTAAGGGGATAAAACTCTCAGCGTTGATCAATCTATGGTGAATGTCGAATGCATTCAACTTCATCAAGCATAAGTGGAGATGACTGAGTGCATATCTGGCCTGTGCAATGACTAGCGGTGGCCTAGCGTGATTTTCAACCATAGGATTGAAAGGCTTGGTTAGCTGGTGGCGCGGGATGGAAGCGAAGAATACGTATGTAATGTGGGCACCTCTAACCAAGAAATCACCCCAACTAATTGACAACTCTCCACTAAGCGTTGAGGAAAGGACAACCTCACTGATATCCTAGTTGGCAGAGCGTTCCTCACACATGGTTCCTTCGTCGTCGTGCAATCTGCTGCCCTAATTCGTTCGAGAATTTTTATTGTGTAGTAAGACATGATTCTTTGTGGTGCAATGTCTTTATTCCTTCACTAGCAATTATGCCTATCGTTAGCGAGAACGAGGTCGGATTATTTCTTCTTACAATTATAGCGTTGAAGTGATCCTTAAGTCATTGTGTGATACCAGTTCCTTCATTGAATTAGAAGTTTTTTAAAATAAAACGCTAATCAAGGAGCTAAGGTACCATTGAAAATAAGGTAGGACCTTAGGCTGTTGTGAGACCATCTACCCTACGTGATCAGATTTATTTCAGCTATCAAGCACCGTTTCTACAAACACATTTCGAAGGGTCGCGTTATAGTTGTTCCTTTCGAAGGGTTACATTTTTACTCGTGTATTTCATACCATGTTTTCTAAGTATCTCTGTTTAACATACATATCCATCGGCAACTGTTGCAACAGTTGATTTTTTGCTATTATCCTTCACCCAGTCTTCAGCAAAATGTATATGAATTTATACACCTTAAGCTGCGTCAAGGGCCCGTGTGGAGCAGTGGTCGGAGGCGCCCTGCAGCACACACACGTGGAATCGATTCCTGCACCCATGGCCCACCAAGCTTTCATTCCTCCGGGGTCGGAAAATTGCTACTAAACTTCTTTGGTAGGATAGCAGCATTGACTCGATACATCGGTAGGCCACCATGAGTCATTGTAAAGGCCAGATATGCATTCAGTCACCTCCAAACCATGCCTAATGAAGTCGAATGCATGGTGCATCCTCCAGGGATTGATCATTCCAAGAGCTTTATCTTTCTTTCTTAGGCAGCATCATGATGTCAGAATAGAACATTTGTTAAAGGCCGCTCTATGACGTCTGAAGAAACATGCTGTGCATCAATCATGCTGCAGAAAACGCTGTTGTCAGAGCGCTCCTTGGGTGTTACTCAAAGCCATCTACATAGTTGAGATTTCTATTCACATGTCAGCTGCGTAGCATAGCGCTAGCAGAAATCTTGCGTTGGAAAGATAAGCGTGGAGGCTTGCTTCCATAACCTGGTCGGCGATATATTTTAGAGCACTAAAGGCAATTTGCAGTTTTTTTTTCCTTACTCAGTTACACCTTCTTTTACCCTTGGATAGCAAGGAATGTTCTTTCATGAGTAAACATTTGATGTCCTTGTCAATTGATGCTCTTCAGGGTTTCTGCTGTTAGGTTGCAGGGTAATCAAATAGCAATGGCGAGGATCGTGGTTGAGTAGAGGGCTGGTCAATCAACTAGATTTAATCCGGAAATCCCCGGAACTTGGCGTTCAGCGTTAGCCAATTGTAAGTCGAATCAGATGCGAGAATTAGAGAGTTACAGGAGCTCTTTGGTAAGGAATTTTGATATAATTTCTTCTCACTCCGTCCAACTGAACCTTCTTTCAAAACAACTGCAGTGAAAAATCGTTTTAAACTAGGCATGATATACCAATTCCACTGTTCGAAGGTTTGAGCAGGGACGGTGTCGAGTTGTTCTAAGCGAGGTGAAAGCTGCTTACCTTAATCTTAATGAATTATTTAAATAAGGTATTAAGGACCGTTAATACCATATTTATAGTCCAGTAGAATGCACGCCTTTATTTTTGCTTGAAAACCATCCTTTAGCGATTGATGAAAAACTGAAAAAGTATTAGATACAGCAAAAGTAAACATTGTGATTTTTACTGCGGCCTTAGCTTAGCTGGGTTCAATGCCGATGTGGGCTCTCCCGTTCAATCCCGTTGACGAGTGATTCCTGATGGTACTGGTAGATATAACTGAAAAGTTGAGAGAAAACTGTCCCATTTCTGCTCGTTGAATGCATCGTTTTCTTGTTCAGCTATCGCAAGGTTGTTTGTTATACGGCATACATTTACTTCCATAGAAAAACGATACAATACAACACTAGCTGACGTTTCGGCAGTATCGCCTTCTTCAGAGCCTGGAAGGGTACACTGATATACAATCTACTAGGCCAAACGCTTCAATAACACTTACAAAAAGACGAAAAACTCTATGGCAATTACATCATCAACATGCTTCTCGAAAAACTCACCTCATGGTTGATATTGATATTGGTCAACCATGTGCGACTATAATCACTATAATCAGCTGTTCTAACCTTCTTCATTGGAGGTCACGAAGAAAAAAGCGGCGAGTCTTTCGAGAAGCTGCTGAACATGTAATTGCCATAGAGTTTTTCGTCTTTGCCTAAGTGTTATTGAAGTGTTTGGCCTAGTAGATTGTACATCAGTGTACCCTTCCAGGCTCTGAAGAAAACGATACTGCCGAAACGTCAACTACTGTTATATTGTATTGCGTTCTTTTATTGAAGTAAACGTATGCTGTATAACAACCTCACGATTGCTGAACAAGAAAACGATGCATTCATATTCCAATGTCGAGATTAATAGAAAGTCGATTCTGGAATCTACCCGTTGAGATCATTGTCTCTACCCGCCACCCACATACCGCAACAGGCGGACATATGCGGAACTGCCATGATTTATTGCTTATAGATTGTTCTCATTACTACGCTTATCATAAATCTTTCGCATATTTCAAAAGTTTTTTGCAGGAAGCTGATAGCAGACGTAATTTTATAGACTTTGATGCTTAAGTAAGGGAACGTGTGGCGCAGTGGTCGGAGGTTCCCTGAAACACACTCATGGAATCCATCCCGCGCCCATAACCCACCAAGCCTTCCATCCCTCCGGTGTGGGTAAATTAGTACCGGACTTGTCTAGGAGGATAGCAGTACTGGCTCGACACATCGGTCGACCACGGCGAGTCATTCTAAAGGCCAGACATGCATTCAATCACCTCCAAATGATGCTTAATGAAGTCGAATGCATAGCGCATCCCTCAGGGATTGATCAACGCCGAGAGCCTTATCCCTTTTTATTTGGTGTTTAAGTACTCAGAAAATCAAAATTGTCAAAAACTAGCCGTGCTGAAGTAACAGATGGTGGCAAATGGCTCTTTCACTGCCCCTCAATTCTCGCACACTTGACGAAATTGGAGATAATGAGTGTTGAGATGCGGTTACCGCTCAGTCATGGTAAACGCTTAAATCTGGACCTGAATTTCCGAAACGCCATCTCCGTCGTACCTTAACGCCGGCTATCGCTGCGGACTTGTGTAACGAGAGCCTCGTGAGGTATTGATCTGTCATCAGATGCTCCTCTGAAGATAGGATGCAGAGCAAGGCTGCTTCAGCAAATTGTATGGTTATGGAACAATATAGATGAAACACCTGAGGTTGAGGCAACTCAAGGAAACTGCTCAACACCGGAAATTTCACTCTTTAGCATCCAAGTACAGAAGATGTATTGCGCTATTCACATGCCTCAAATGGTTAAGAAGTTACGTTATATTTTGGATCAGGACCTTATATCTGGTTCAGCAAGAGAGCCATCAGAGTTGATGAGAAAGTCATTGTTCTTTTTGGTTCAGCACTCTCTTTTGGCTTCTCATTACTTAATAAATTGCAGTGCGTTTTGTAGAAATTTTTATTGCTCTCTCTTTTACAATGTCGATGTAAAAAAGCAAGCACTTAAATATAAATGCCCACTGATGAATAGTTTAACGGAATGCTGCAAACCGCCACCGGAGTATCACCTCGGTGGCCGGCCCGCAGCCAATGCAGCAGTTCAGCCAATTACCGTCATCTAATTGGCCATAAGAAACAACAAATCACAGCAATTGCTCGTTAGGTCAAACAAGCACATCACCGCCAGTTATTAACTCGTCGAACAGTTATGGGACTTCGTCTGGAGCGAACGGAGGATTAGCGCCCTAGCTTCTAAGCCGTTCGTCTTGTTCCGCAAACGAATCACTATTTGCTCACCCGACAAGAATTCAAATACAGATCGCAGAAATCTCGTCAATGAACCAGTAACGGATAGGAAAATAAGAAATGGTAAGGATAGAAATGCTAATCAATCGATTTTTAAGTCATAATGGAGTTCATTGTAGAGTTACTTTTACAACAGAACACGACTTCATGCCCACATTATACGAGCGCATAGGGTGTTGCATTTGGTGAATCTGATTCTGCCGAACACAACAACTAGTTCTCAAGAATAATTAAGCCCGATGGATATCTTGAAAATAGTTAGACTCATGAAAGAGCTTAATAATAAACTGAATGCTCAATGTTGTGCAAAGACGACGTTCGCTACATATCATCGGCAAGCAATGAATCGATAGAAAAGTCGCGTCTTCGGGATGGCGATGTGCCTAGCTTGAACTCCTGGACCGGGAAAACAAATGCTGGCGACGGATGAGGCGAGTCGTCGGAGGACTCGCCGTCAGGTACCGAAAGACCCATGTGGCGCCGTACCTGCAAAAGAGTATGTCATTAAGCGCTGATGGAAAATTATCCTTTTAGCAACCAGAAACATTTCTATTATTCACCTTGTTCCTTTTCGTGAGAGTAAGTAGATTTTAGTCCTCGAAATAGTAGTTTAGCCCCGCTTAAATAATGCCATACTTATTCCAGTTTTTATCGTATAAGTATCTATGACAAACTGAGTGCAATTAAAACTCAGAGTACAGGAGTGTTAAGGATCAACTTTTTGTTCGCTTTTAAAGGTCTAGGTCACTACAGACTTATTTGCAGCCTATTCGTACCTTCCGCTGAGCTCTTCGCCGCCGAAAATCGCCTCTTTCAAAATCCCGAAGACAAGCCGGATGAACAGCCCAATAGTGTCCCTAGAAAGAAACCGGTAGCCATGATTCGTAACAAAATAGACAGACTAACTGGTCGTTCTTCAGCAGAAATCGCATAGTTGTACCTTGCCGTTCGCCGCTCGCCCAGCTTTCACAAAACAGTCATTTAGGCTGAGATTGTGTCTAATGCTGTTTCTCCAACCGGAACCCCGAGTGCGGAAGTACGGGTAGTGGATCATTATCCATTCATACACCTGAAATTGTTTTAGTTTTGATTCGTTTTCGTATATTTTTAGGACCATAGGCCATCAAAAGTCTCCCAGAAGAATACCTCTGCAATGTGAAGTGTTTCTACTGCAATGACAAAGTTAGCAAGACTTGCTGTTTATTCTCTGATGGGCTTCTCAGTAAAGGACTAAGCTTTCTTTGCTCATTCAGATCGTTTGACTACCTTATTTACCTTATCTCCTTTATTTCTCAAAGAGTGTCAGTGCATGTCGCCTGAATAAGAGAAAGCTGATTTTATCTCGCTACTTCCACAGCCTTTTTTATTAATCAGTGAGCACTCTCCTATGGAAATGGAAATTGGAGTGGTAGGTGTATAATCCTTTTCGGAAGCTGATGTTGGCTCGTTGACAAGTTCAGATCGGCCTACATGTGCATTGATACTAGTTCTTAAAAAGAATCAGCTTATAGAAATCTTAGAGTTATTTATGATAAAGAAAATACTTAGAGAGCCAAAAAACAATTCGGAGGGTAACTACGCTGGCGCTCTTCTCTTGAAGGACTAATAATTAAAATAAAATGGTCTTCTTAGTGTTCATTTTTCTTGTTACTTCCAAAAAAGCTATTGCTTCCTAAAATAAAATTCTTGTTGGTGTAAAGGCCGTTAGTAAAAACACTACCTCACTGAGTACCATCTTCTTTTCTGGAGACGATAGGATGGCCATGGCAATGAGGCCGATATAGGAGTACTGAGGTTTGGGCTGGTCGAGAATCGGGAAGAGTGACGTTGGACTGAAGAAACTTCTGGACGGCATAAGTCCCAATCTCAGTGGAATTCCGAATTGGGATATGTCATTGCAAGGGTCCATAGCTAATAACGTTCGTTGGTAGTCACGAAGAGCATCAACGCAATGTTTCTCCATGTCTGAAAACTGGAGTCATTAATTCGTTACTTCTTTAGAGGTTAAACATAGTGAAATACCATAACGAAGAGTGAAGCCTAAAGAATGGAGGAATCATCATTTACTCAGTTATTTTCCAGTTACCTAGTAGTAGTCGGAAATCGCTTTAACGAAGGAATCGTTTTGAGATTTGATTCTTTTAACCGAGTCTCTATCTCAAACTCTTGTGGAGAGAACAATGTCTGTTTACATCCAAGAAGTTTCTGTAAGCACGTAAATCATTACGCTCCAGGGCTTGATCATGTTCGGCAGTACCCATTATCGTAGTCGTTCCCAGCTTGCTATGTTTGCAAACGTTTAGATGTGAGCTGAATGAATGAAGTCAGCCACTTGCTAGACTCGGCTGATAAGCAAAAGCAGTGAAGGAAGGATGCTAACCATTTTCACTGCTAAATCGACGAACGCAATGACTGGTTGAGGTGAGTGGGTTAATCGGTTCATGGACAAAGTCAGATAAATAACTGTCCTGAGTGCTTTTCATCTTCAACATGGCAAAGCGAACCATTTAATTAAAAACCTGCTTGCTTCAAGTCGCTTCATTGTCTATTCGTTCAAACCATTGTCCTTACTATCGTTCAGGAAGAATAAAGGATAGAATGAAGGATAAAGCAGCCGGCGTTGATCAATCCCTGAAAAGTGCGCCATGCTTTTGACTTCACCAAACATCGTTTGAGGTGATTGGATGTATATATGGCCTTTACAATGACTTGCGGTGGTCTACCGATGTATCGAGCAAGTGTATTCTCCCTACTATTCTCCCAGACAAGCCTAGTAGCTGCCAAAAACTTGGTGAGTCTGGGCGCTGGGATCGATCCCACGTGTATTGCAGGGCGCCTCCAACCACTGTGCTACAAGCGCATCCTTCGGAAAGACTACGGCTTTTTTGATCTTTTGGGCATAAAGGGAAATTTGGCAGTGCAAAAGAAGTTTCTAGAAATTTCCTTCGTTTCCGAAGTTTTCGCGAGACATGTTAAATAATCAAGGAATCAATATTTCAAGAAGGTGCGAAGAAGATTCGACTTGACACGACGACGAAGACACGACGTCGAGAGCATGAGCGACTGCTAGCCATCGATTCGGATCGTCGGATCTGAGGAAGATGAAGAAGTCGAAACGTTGGCCGAATAAACCTTGTTATCAACTTCGTATTTTTGTTGAGCAAACGCGAGGTGTTACTTTCATTCTTTATTCACGAATAAGCTGACGTTCCGGCGGATATCGCCTTCCTCAGAGTCTGAAAAGGTCAAGTTGACAACAACCTAATCGGCCAAACACCTCCATAACCAAACAAAGAAAACGCTAAACCAAGATTTCAATCACATTTAGCATAGCTCTGCACACTCACCGCTTTCCATGAGTCCTTTCCATGAGTATGTTGCGCGAAGACCAACCGCACGGAATTCACATGGAAGTATAATATGCCCCTCCCATCAGAAGCATTCTTCCCTGCGGTTCATTTTCGTACTTATTTATAGAAAGTCGGTCGTGGGAGTTACTTGTTATCAACCTCATGTTAGCTTATCAATGAAAGAATTCAGTGAATTGTGGTCCCAAAAAAGAGTTTCAGTGTTGGAAAAACGCTACCAGCCTTAGATATCGGCAATTTGTTAGACACTAATCGGCGTATTTGGTACAGCACAGGAAAGCCTAATAATTGCTGAGTGCCCAATTTTTGTCGATACACGGAAGTAGATGTCATCGCGACGGCGAACTGCAATTTTCCCTACTTCTGACTAAATTCACTTCGCCCACAAACCCTCATAGCAGTGACTGAGCTCGAACTTTTCGCTAGGTTAGGTAAGCAACAGATTGCGTTCCGTTTTTCTATGGAATCCATTTTCGGTTCTTTGCTTGAACTCCATCCGAAAAAATAGAGTTTCTCTTAAATTTTCTTTTCTGTAAAAAAACGGATAAAAAGTTAGAAAACAATCAAAGCAAACTTCTTTCTTCAAATCGCACTTTGTTGCCTTCATTTGACCAAGCAGAATTCTGCACCACACGTTGATTCCTTTAAATGTTCGGTAAATCATTCCCATTTTTCCAGTTGTCATTAGACTGATGCTTTTAATATTATAGTATACGGTAAATTCAATACTTTTGCAAGACGTAACTACAGCAAAGTCCAGCTGTGTCAAATGCCAGTGCATATTTTTCCTTGCCAACAAGTGATCAGAAAGGGATATGCTAGGAAACGGAGCAGCAGCAGGTCATAGATAATCGTCTGTCAGTAAGAGGAAACAATTTGGCAGTGGATGATAGGCGCTCGAGACACAAATACCTCGACAAACAGGAAAAACCGTTCGTATCATTATGGAACTAGTTCGTTTCTCGACGTTTCTACGTAATCGCATAATGACGACGATGAATGAGCTCCTGCCAATGGCACGGACACCGCTCACCGGTTCCAGAAGTCGTATGGACAACCGGAAAATCCTACTTCCTTCGATCTGTTGCCGTCTTCTAGGATTCCATCTGCAAGGTGTCCGATTTTCGTTGAAACGAACTAATTTCTTTTATTTATTCTACAATCTGAGGCTATTGGAGAACAAGCGATAAACAGAAGTGATTTCAGATACTATTGCGTATTTTTCGACTCTCCTTTGTAAAAACAGAAGGGTAATGGTTATAGTAAAGACCGAATAATTCATCTTTCGAAAGCAAAACGAAAATCTTTGACAAAAATCTGTTGTTGGAATGCCAACACTGCAGACTTATAAAAGAGCTTACACCTTGCAATTTTCAACGCTTGCAGTTTGCTAAGCAAATGGTCTGGTCTGCAGGTCCTTTCGTTTTCGCATTTATTTGGTTGAAAAGTAATCAACTGAGTTTCTTCAACTGAAAGGTCATATATGGTCTAGATATATGGAATCTAGAGGATTTTCGTTTCTCTCACAGGTAATGGCTAAACAATATATTGTAGTTGAGGCAGAACCAACTTCAACAGCGAGTTCCGCCGGAGGTATTTGCGTGTGAAGTTCGCACTTCAACGCTGGCCTGAAACGACGATGAGAGGTTTAATAAACCTGAATTCAACACCGCATCCCCACACGAAATAGTTAAGTCGATGATAGTGTGCATTTCAACTGCTAATCTCATGTATTTCAAGCAGAAATGAACCGACAAACATGACAGAAGCTAGGAAAGGAAGAAACAGCGCTTTGTGCCGGCTCCATGGATCTGGCAATTTATTGGTCATCTGTTATATGCAGTTCGCAACAGCGATGTTTAGAATATGCTGTATAGGCAACGACAATTACTGGAAAGTGAAGTTATAGAAAGAAAGTCTACAAGTTTCCGAAAGCTGTATACTTGAGTGAATAGGAACTTTATCCTTGTGAAACTAGAGGCGTATTGTGCAAACAATGCTCGAAATTAGTTCATGCAGACATGGAGAGGACATATTTTCTTGAGCTGACAAACCAGCTAGAAAAAGTACCCTAGGGCTTTGAAGAAGGCGAAACCACCGACTCGTCACTAGTATTGAATAAATATTATTATTAACAACTACGTGTCCATTCAAGAAGAAAGCATTAACTTATAACAATGCCAAGGTTAATAGGGAGTTGGTCGTGAGAACATCAGAGCACTAGAACACAAAGTAACGACGAAGTTCGAGCCCACGACGGCAGTGAGCCTGTGAAGGTGTTTTTCTGGTGGTCTGTTGAAGGATTCGTGCCGACGAGCTAGCTGCTCGACGAAGCGGAGGCGGAGCGAGTTCGCATTGTGTCTCCAGGCAATCACATTAGACGAAGAATACGGTAATGAAACGCCGACGACAATCGCATTGCGACGTCGCGACGACGCCGTCGCTGATTGTTTGAGGCGGCAAATTGTCCACTTAGCCGACGTCGTTGTTGTGCAACCGCTCACAAAGCGATCGAGCAGCACGGCCAGAAGTCCCAACAGCACCACCGACACTCTTGCAGTCACATCAATTAGCAGTCTGTTGAATACTGTTGCTCACCAGACGAGAACTGCTCCGAGATCCTCAGTCTTTTCCTTTATTTTAAGTTCTTCATGAAGGCAGCGGTAACCGACTTTTAACAAGTTTAACCGCTGCGTTCATAAATGAACGAAGAATCAGATGGCAAACAAAACAGCCTACGTGTTGGGAATCTTTTGTATCAGGGTATTGGAAAGAAATCATCTAACCTTTACAACCCTCTTCTTAAGAGGCAATAGAAGGAACAAAGCCTTCCAGTTTTCCTATCCTTGCAGAAACCGATCAATTGTTGCATTATCACTGAGCGTATTACCCGGTTCAGTATTTTAGCAACCATCGAGGCATCTTGAGGAATTACCCTGCCGATGTTGAATATCGAATTTGGACACTTGAGCGACCGTATGCACTTCGCTGAGAAAAACAGAAAGTTTCCAACTACTCTCAACTAGAAAGGTTCGGATGATGGAATACTTACTTGTCATCAAGAATCGGATATTAGTCTAACAAGGAAATATTTAGTGGTACTACGCTTCTTCCTTATTTCCAGCTAAGCATAGGAACTGATTCCATTGCACCTAGCAATAGTTCAGATGCAAGCCAGCAACCTTCACTTCATTCGTTGACCGCAGCAAGCCACCGTTTTTGTTGGAGTGATATAAATCGAAGATGTAGAAAGTATGCTCAATTATTTTTGTTGCTTTCTTATTGCTTACTTTGTTTCCTTACGAAGACATAAAGTGCAGCAGTATAGTAGTGCCCTTTGAGAATGAAAGAATTCTTCATTTATTCAGTGAAGGCGAATTACATACCCTAGGTGGTAGATGTCTACCACCTAATGCACCACCTATTCCTTAAGCTCGTCTGTCCAAGGTCCAGCTCATCGTCAAGTGCTTTGACTCGCCCTGAATAAGTGTCTGCAGCTAGATAAAACTTGTGGGGCTGGAAATAAGATTAGTACATGTCACTTCTCAAGGAATGCTTCATCAACAAGGTAAGTGCATATGAATGTGTTCTGCAT